CCCCATGTATGTATGCACTAGAATTCTAATATTAGCCTCCGCTTTGCTGTGCTTTTATATGATTTGACTATACATTTGAATATGTAATTGTTCGCGCTTGCTCGCTGACAATTTCTCATTCGCTTGTAGCTTTATGGCCTACGTTATTTGATAATAAACTGTAGTTGCATTGCATATATATATGATATAATATAACCATACAACGTTGTAAATTGTAACTAAAATCCAATTCATTTTTATTAATATTCACACTAAAGGCAAGTTATAGACCACTCACTTGTGTATAATTTCTAATCAATGAAAATACTGAATTCATTTTAAATCATTGTTCTATATATTTTTTTGTACAAACTATTGATCCTATGGTAACTACATATATAATATGCCTTATTTTAAAATGGTGAAATTATTTCTTCATTCAGAAACTAAAACTAAAAAAAAAAAAGTAATTTCATTTTCTTATAAACAATCAGTTTTACAGATTTTTTAATAAAATGATTCAAGAATTACAGAACCAACTAACAATTAAATCTAGGGGGAGGGATTATTTCTAATCGACAGTAAAAAAAAAACATTGTTTTACAGTTGATTTTTGAATGATTAAAATAACATATAAATTCTTTATGATCTTAATGATATTAAACTATGAAAATGGTAACTGTGAAAGATCTAATTTTATAAATGAGATCATGAGTCAATTGACGCTAGACCACCATGGAAAACCTTGATGTACTGAACGGCCGTTTTGTCCAGGTTTTCTATAGTGGTCTAGCTTCAATTGATTCATGATCTCATCTATAAAATTGCAAAAATTCCCACAAAACCCCCTCATGATAAAAATCTAATTTTCGGATCTAACATACAATAACACTGTTTCTGTTTAATAATAATAATAATAAAAGTGATTTTCTTAAAACAACAAATGTTCTGCTCTATATTTTGCACATTATGTAGTGAACAAGAACATGGGAGGGGACAATCGAACGTATTCAAGCATAAATTACAGATCATCTCACTAAATTCTGATATCCATACAGTAAACAGTTAATTTGAAAATTAGCAATCAATTGTCTCAATCCTCACTGTTCCTTCTGTAAATATCAGTCCGTTTTCTCTGATTTCATTGTTCATGCATTTTCTTACCGATTGCGCTTCATTCCTGTTCTTTCCTTATCGATCTTCAGTCAAAATACATTCTATATCTGACCATCACCATATACTACTTATATGGATATAAGTAGACCACACTACAATTATTTTGACTATTCTCTATATTTTATCAACATTAAAAAATATTACTTAAGTCAACAAATGAAAAAAAGTGCATTAAATTTACTTCAAAGTATTGTGTTTGCCCGGAAATTATCCACCTTCCTTTCCTTATAATTACAATTCTTTATTTTAATTATATAAAAAAGAATGTTAAAATTCGTTTTTTCTTGTTTACCTAACGTTGTAGTTTTTTTCTGTGCAAACAACCTTAACTCGTTAGAAAAATCTTGTAACCAAACGTTTTAAAAATAATTTGACATTATTTGTCATTAAGATTAATCAATCGATTATCATTCAAGTATGATTTTACATAAAACAATTTGCGTATTTAAGATTTACTTGTTATACCATAGAAACTTTATTAACTCTCCTTTACAGTATCGTATTCTTTAATTGTCATCACCATTATGGATCTGTAAGGTTATATTACATCCATTGTTATACAAGTCAAATTGAACAGCAGAAAAATATTTAAAAAAAACCGAAGTTAACCGAAATTATTTAAAAGTTACTAATTTGTTATAGGACATAATGGACTGTAAAATAGTCCTTACCTGCGATCTACTTTGAATATTGAAGAATAACCGAAGTAAATTTATCAACTAATTGAAGAAATAGTTATCAATACCAAAGTTGGACTTCATAATCTCAAATAAACTGATCATCAGATAGAGAGTTTATAATAAATATATTTTTGTTATATTCCAATGAGTGGAAAAATTGTATTTCTGACGTTTCGTGACTAAGTGTGGGCTACTTCTTCAGAGTAAATAAAAAACCGAATCACATTTAAAAAAGTTAAATAATACTAATTATTAATCACAGAAATGTATTTATTTCATTCCCTTAGAAACTTTCTTCACCCAAAAACAGAGATAACATTTTACTGTAAACCAAAAAGTACTTGAACAAACAACAATAACAAATCATTTCATTCTACAAGTTCATTTGATATTGTTTACTTGAATTTTCTCATGGATGTTTAGGACTGCAGTTGATAAGTCTCTGATTGATATACGTGTATTCAATGCGTATTATCTCAATATTGCTTTTATTATATGAAAATATATACAGTGGCTAGCAATAGAATTTAGGACTCATATTTCATTCTATTTAAGACTCAATTATCACTACTCACAACCAACAAAACAGAAATTAAAAACAATAAATATTTTCAAATTCATTCAGTATTGTTTGTTTGAATCTTCCCATCGATTTGTTAGGACTGCAACTGGTCAGTCTCTAATTGGCATATGTGCAGACTGTGCGTATTGCCTCAATATAGCCTTAATTCACAAGCATGGTAAGCAGAGATGGATAGTGGCTAGCAGTGGAATCCAGGACGCGCGTTTCGTAATACGCACAGTATACGCATATGCCAATTAGAGACTGACCATCTGCAGTCCTGACAAATCGATGGGAAGATTCAAACAAACAATACTGAATGAATTTAAACTTCACCCCATCGCACAAGCAAACGTCTGTCAGGACTCACTAGCTAAGTGGATTACACTACGGTGTTCGAGGAGAAGGATACTGGGTTCGAGTCCCAGAGTGAGCAACAACTCTGAGATGCAGGTACATCCAGCTGACGAGTCCCAAATAAGACGAAACGCGCGTCCTGGATTCCACTGCTAGCCACTATCCATCTCTGCTTAACAATAAATATTTTCAACAACAAAAAAATTCTGAAAATAAGATTTTTAGCGTGGTATATCCTGTTATGTAATCAAATAACTACAAAATTGTCTCTTATTATTCTTAATATCTCTTTCATCCTACTGTTGATTAACTATAATTAAAATAAACAATATCTCTTAATTTATGTATTCATAGAATTACATCGTTAACATTACTATTAGTTATGTGTCATAGTTAATTATACCAGTTACCATTAAATCATATTTAAATAAAAAAAACATAACAAACAAATCTGTCTCGTAATTTTTTAATGGTAATCTATTTTAATAATTAAGATCATAAGTCAATTGAAGCTAGATCACCATGAAAAACCTGAAAGAACTGAATGGCCGTTTCCTTTTATTGCGAGACTCCGCAGCAGTATGCATCCACGATCTTGTCTCGCGAGATACAAACTCAGTACCTATCGTTTTCGCGCGCAAACTCTTAATTATGGATGCCTACTGCTGAGGAATCCCACGATAGGACCAAACAGCCTTCCAGTTCTTTCAGGTTTTTTCATGGTGGTCTAGCTTTAATTGACTCATGATATCAACTATTAAAATTACTATAATATTCACAAAAACCCCTTCTAACATAATTTTTTGTTAAGAAATCTAATTGAATTCTTTTTCAAAAATGACCTTTTATTCAAAAGATTCCAAAAGAAAGTAGTCAATATGAAACTTTTTATTTAGAGTTTAATAAAAAGAGGAAATTAAGTAAAACACATAGGAATCTTTTGAAATTATTCAAATTGAAAGATTTAAAGTTAACTGGACGTCTTTTATTTGATTTTTCTGTTGTATATAAACCTTTGTTGTTGACATGTGATTAATTGTCATCATAGTGATGTCATCAAAGCTCCTTTCAGTAAATAAGAAATTCTTTATATATAAATGCCTACTATCTTCTAGTTAGGATTTCATGTCGATAAAAAAAGCTGTTTTTCAATATTTTGTTTTGGCAATCATTCGTGACAAATCAACCTATACGTAGTCAAAGAGTTCCTCTAATTCATTTTCGAAATCTTGGTATATCGTAAAACATCTTCAGACAGCTGTTTTATTCATGACCTGAATGTATAAGCTTCATACATGGCTACAAATCAACAAACTGAGAAGAGTAATATCAAACATTTATTTATTTATTTAAACACAAATATTGGTACAAAGGGGGCACCAGATGTATATGCGCCACACAAACCTCATTTCATTAGTGTGAGGGCTGTGATACTTTCCGGGTGCCCAAACCGAAGCAGGTCGTTTTCTTAGAGGGCCACACCCGGTGCCTAATTTAAAGGTCTAATCCACAAGGCAGTGGAGCATCGTAAGGAGATGCAGTCCTATGGTAGCCGGTGATCAACGATTGATTCATACGCCATTTGTTCCCTCAAGATACTGGAGTCCATATGCACCATTGCTTTGATATCAGGGTTTTTCTACTTCCCAAGGTGGACCCTCCGTATCCACCGACCCGGTTAAAGCGCTGGACATTCACTTTCCGCCTTCTCAATTTCGTAAACAACAGTAATGCCACGAGAAGGCATTGAGTAGGACTTCCCTGGCAGAGGCTATATATTCGCTGGCCATGTGAGAGTATTTCGACAGGGAGAGCGGACTCTTCCCACTCTCGAGCGTACCAGGACATTCGGGGGCAGTATCAAACAATCCTGTACCAGTTACCGTTATGGTTTTTTATATATCAACTTTATCTTTTTTTCTAGAGATTCATAAACCTATGACCATGTATGACATTAACGTTTTCACTTAATTCATTTGTTAAACAAAAAATATCAGTCTCACTATTACCTTTATACTTCTTTTTCACTAATGACTCTAAATAAGAATAATTAGTAAAAGATGTGAAGCTTAACAGTTTTTGGATCAGATAGAAAGATTCAAAAAAAAACAAAAATCTTAACAATCAGTTATTTCATTCATTAAAATGAATAATTGTTATCCATGTTGCTTATGATTTATTGAGTAAAATGCTTTAGGAATGTATCACAACATCACTTGTATTTTGTTTACTTTTTTTCCTTACAGGTGCATTTCTAATACCTTATCTAGTTATGTACATTTTTGGTGGACTACCTTTATTTTATCTTGAATTGGCATTAGGACAATATCAGCGCAGTGGTTGTTTAACAGTATGGAAAAGAATATGCCCTTTGTTCAGTGGTATGTTAAACGTGTTTATTAACTGAATTAAATTAATGTTTTGATAAATTATTTGTTTTATTAGCAAAGATGGATAGTGGCTAACAGTGGAATCCATGATGCGCGTTTCATCCTATCTGGGACTCATCAGCTGGATGTACCTGCATCTCAGAGTTGATGTTCACTGTGTGACTTGAACACAGTACCGTTCACTTCAAACGCCATGGCGTTATCCACTTAGTTACGAAGTCCTGACAGACATTTGCTTGTGCAATGGGGTGAAAATATATATGTATGGGAAGATACAAGTAAAAAACACCAACAAAAATAACAAGAGAAAAGAAATCACTTCAGCTACTGTAAATAAGATTATTATTCTGGTATAATTAAACTTAATAATTAACATGAGTAACAATGAAAATGTTTGAAAATCTCTGTTACTAATTGATAGAACTAAGTCAATCACTAGTCTACTACAAAGTGATTTAAGCCAGAAATAACAAATTCACCTGAATCATCAAATATCAACGGAAGACTTTTCTAATTGTCCAAATTGTTCTTCAACGGTATTTTACTTCTTATTTTTATGCTCATATATATATTTATTTATAGGGTTAATTAAGTCAAATATTATTCATAAAACTGTGTATAATTTCATAATACGGTTAAAAATTTCACGAATATTATTTGGTAAACTTGTAAAAGAAAATAATTGAGATTAACACCTTTGATAGCTGGTTCAGTGGTCCAAAGGTTAAGCGTTCGTGCGCGAGACCGAAAGTCTTCGGTTCAAATCTCACGAGTGGGATTATGGATGCTCATTGCTAAGGAGTCCCCGAATAGGACAAAACGGCAGTCTAATGTCTCCACGTTTTCAACCATGGTCTAACAATAATCGGTTCATAATCTCAATAAAAAATCTTCATAATCTTTAAAACACCACACTGATGCTACTTTGATTGTTGATTGTTTGATGTGTGAACTCAAACAATGATAAGTTGTAACTGAGTTCCTTTTATTCAAAAACTAGATCATTTTAAAAATATTCATTTCTCAATAGTCCTGACAGCTATTTTAAGAAAAAGTAACCTAAGAGAAATCTCAGCTTATTCCCATGACAGCAATAAACAGTTTTTTATATAGAAATGGATTATGTACGATTGTTTAATTTCAGTAAATTTTAAGTCCAACAGTTTTAACTTTATCAAACTGAACATAAAATTAGGTGTTACATGAATAATAAATATAAGTAAATAAAAACAATCGGTTGGGTCATATGTTAGTCCAAAAATTGGTTTATTACAACCAAGGTTACTGCTTAAAGAATGATGTATTTCCTCAAACAAGAAATTAACCGCCAGTACTTCAAATCACAAGGTATTCCATTAAAATAAAACTGATTTCAATCATTATTTCTTGAATAATATTTGACATTAGGTTGCTGGTTTACCATCAATCTTTCGCATATTGTTTTTGAGTATAAGTTTCTCAGTCTTTAGCCTTGGAATTCCAGTCAAATAAGCTGTTGGATAATTTTAGGTCAGGAAATTATTGAAACCATCATTTGTCAAAATTTAAATCTCTTACTTGAAAATATTGATTAACAAGGTTTATCTGAAACTTACATGACGGATTTTTGTTTTCAAAGTGAATCCTTACACTCAGAACTCAGTTTTCATCGATGAGTTATTTAAGTAACATGGTATCATAGTAAACTATCAATGATGTTAGATAGTTTCAGGTACCACTACATACAATAAGTATATTCTGTGCTTAAATTAGCAAAATGTCTCATATATTTTATTCATTATAACCATTTTATTCAGCGTAATGACTGTTTGAAATCTGATTAGCGAAAACATTTGTAAGGAAGCGCATTCTTATGACTTTTGTCGAATAACAGTTCGAAAGAGAGATCGGTTGAAATTTAAAACATTATATATGTGGAAAAGATCAATATCATACATGTTTACAAAGCATTTTTATCAGGCTGTTGGAGCATAAATGACATAAAATAAAAATTAATACAACCATCTGTAAATACTAGATCCCAAATAAGTGATCTAAATCCCACAAATTTCTTCAGAACACATAAATTAGAGTTCTAAATTTTGATCACTGCAGATCCTGCTATACGTAGAAAAAGAAAGAAAACCTAGTTGAGAAACGACGAATGTATTCTGTAGAATAATAGAAATTATTTAATTTCATCTATCACATGATGCCTGCCAACTAAGTGTGAATAAATCATCATTCGACCCCTTCCAAAGCATTCAGAGAGTTATTCACTTATTTATTAACTAAATGAGCTGATAGTTAATTTCTCATCATAAGAAGAGCAAAATCAAGTAATTTACTCTTTGGTCGAATAGAAACTTCTGATCGACAGGAAAATGAAAAAGTGATATTCGCTACCTAAAAATTCCAACAGCCTCCATTAGTCTGTCATTCGAGATATAGCTAGCCTCTCTCTAATTGTAATGCTTCAAATAAGAGCACCTAATCAAACAAGGATTTGTTGGTAGTGATTTGAATAGGCAACCAACTTAACTTTATTCCGAAAAAACATTATTGGTAAAAAGTAATATTGTAGTGAACAAGAAGACGGGTGAGGATAATCGGACTATCTGAAAAAAATCTGACAACCATACAGTAAACAGTTAATTTGAAAACTATCAATCAAAAGTCACGATTTGAAACTTATGTGGCCGTTTAAATGAGATTATAGTGGTATGAATATAAACTAGTTTACTGGTTTTGCTTTAATCATTTTCACGAAAACTACAAATCGATTACTAATGATTATCATCATTGCATAATACTACATCATGCGGTACATCATGGATAACTCTCTTTAGGATATAAATCTAATTTTATCAAGAAAACAACTCATGGTAAGAAGTAGTTGCTATGTATATATCTTGTTACCGTTAATTTATTGATTGTAAACAATTTTTTCCATGGTTCTAAGATACGCTTTCGTTTCATATAAATCTACATTAGTAAAGTATAAACATTGATGCATTTGTCTCTCAATTTCGTGGATCGGTTGAAGTTAGACAATAACACCATTCGATGCCTGCTCAGTGGTCCAATGGTTAAGCACTCGCGCGCGAGACTGATAAGTCCTAGATTTGAATCTCGCGAGGTGGGATCGTGGACGCGCACTGCTCAGGAGTCCCACAGTGGGACAAAATGGCTTTTTAAAGCTTCCACGTTTTCCATAATGGTCTAGCTTCAATTGAATCATGATCTCAACTATTAAAATCATTATAATATCCACAAAACCCCTTCTGATATCAAAAATTTTATTTTTTTTTTAAAATAATGTAATATATAAAACAATAATAGTAATCAAACTTATCAAATTACAAACATTTCTGTCATTTATTGAGTTCAATATATTTCAGACTTATTAAAATGAAAAATAATAATAATAAAGGAGTCTATTTAAAGGACAGAAATGTAGAAATGAAACGTCTGTAACATATTCAAACTGGTTGTTTATTGAATCGTAATTAAGCTCAGGTTTCTTTAATTCTTAATGTTAATTAAATTCTATAACAGAATGATAATATAAATTCCATTTATTAAGAATAGATAGACTATGTCTAGCAATAGAATGAAGGATTCATGTTTTGTTTTAAACAAGACTTGTCATTTAGATGTAATAGGACCTCATTGTTGACGTATATACTAAAATTTTAATCCAGTACCTTACAAATGAAACGTTAAAGTCTTATTCCATTAGCTACTTAGTTCACGTAGTCTTTGACTTCTTGAACGAGTATCAAGTTTATATCATTAGAACTAGGTTCAAGATCTAATATGATTATCAACATTGGGATGCAAGTACATTCAGATGACTAGTTTTAAAAAGGATTCAAGTATCAGCCATAATCCATCCATTTTAAATAACTTGATAAGTAACGGCTATTTTGAGATAATCCTCATCGGATCCACACATTCAAGCAAAGGCTGGTAAAACATCAATCTCAAATATTGTCGATTAGATAACTCAAAATCTATATTACGTACAATATGTTTATATGTTTGGTATCTGGAGACAAATGAAATCAGACCCCAAATAGCGCGATCGATAAAATTCGAACGATACTTGGGAATGAATAAAAACAATATACATTAATGTTTGCGAAAATTTCGGTCTTATAAAAGTTCATTCGAAGTTAAAATAGCTCAGTGGGAGTGACTCAGAATTTGAAACTATGCTACATAATTTCATAGCTCACGACACACAAACAGTTCCTCCAAGATAACGAACTACAACATAAAATATAGCTTCAAGGTTATCAGCTGATTACTAATGATAACGTAAAACGTTTCAGAATATATAAATGAAATTACATGCGTTGTTTCATTCCAGAATTTTCATGAGTTTTAATGATTAGCTTTTATTTGTAGTTCACTACTGTCTTTACACACAATAGTCTAACATAATTTAGACATTGATTTACCTCTGAAGGTACATTCGAACAACTGAATGAATTAAACAGTCAAATAAAACTATAAATAATCATTTGATAACACTTTTATTACTTGAGATTTTCTTTGTTATTTCTTTGAACAATAGATCATAAAGCATTGAATTTATCAGTCAATTAAAGCTGGACCACCATGGAAGAACTAGAAGCACTGGATGGCTGTTTCGTCTTATTGTGGGACTCTTCAGCATTGAGCATCCATGATCTCACTAGGCCGTCCAGTTCTTTCAGGTTTTTCATGGTGGTCTAGTTTTAATCGACTGATGAATTCAACCATTAAATTTCTTTTTATTCTGGTAGAATTTATAAACCAATTAATTTACGATACTTATTCAGTGATATGTTTTTATTGACTTTGTTGAAAATTTTTCATTATCTTTCCACTTACTTGAAATTTAGGCGTTGGTTTTGGAATTTGTATAATCGCAAGTTATACAGCATGGTATTACAATACAATTATTGCATGGGCACTATTCTATATGATTGACGCTATGAAACCACATATACCATGGGATGGATGTAATAATTGGTGGAATACAAATTCTTGTGTCACCGTTTATGAAAGATTGATCAATCATTCTATACTGAATGCTTCACATAAATATGAACTAAATGAACTGGTCAATTTGTCAATAGCTAATCTAAAGATTAATGGAAGTGGTGAAGTGTTTTCTTCTACAGAAGAATATTTTTAGTAAGTTGATAAGTAATTTGTTTCACAATATTTATTGGACAAGTAATATCTTTATTGTGAACAAAATTATGTACGTACTACGAATAGAGGTTCAATAAAGTTAATCAGGAAGTAGTAAATCTTGATTATCCTACCATTTGAAATCATATTTTGGCATTTAGTTAGGTATCTATTTATGTTATTTATTTGTCATCTATCAATACAAATACTTGAAATTACTCAAACATCATTGAATTGTAGATTTAGTTCAAAAGTTTGAAAATCATCACTGAAACTTTTCACATGTGGTATTTAAACGAGAATTAACAATATAACAGTGAAATAAATTGGATGCTTACTAAAATTATCTAAAAAATTAGACACTCTAACATAGAGACCAGAAACCGATCGAAAACAGAACTTCCTTCATTTTATTACTTCAAGCCTGAAATGTTCATTCAAAAATGGCATCCCTTCTCATAACGTATTACATTTAATTGATTGTTTATTCGCTTTCTCATAATCTCCACAAAAGTAGATAACTATCTTTAGTTCAAAATTCAAATGTTAAGCCTATTTTCACTTTACAACCCTTTATTTAGTTCTAGACAATTGAGCAACCTAAATTTTCAATCGTTTTTCGACTGATCCAGTATCTATCCAACTTATTACGGAATTATCAGCGCTAAATAATTATAAATACAATTTTGTAGCCTTAGTAAATGACAAAGTAGAAAAGAAAATTTTCTGAGTTGAATTATTTGTAAACAAGATCAAAATTGTGATATGTTCAACACGTGAATTAACATACTTTATCAGTACAGCGTTATGAAGACTGTTGAATTTCCTTAAAATTATGACCTGGCCAATTTAAGACTACCATTGAAAACCTGGAAGCATTGGAAGGAAGTTACGACCTATTGTAAGACTCTTAAAAAGTTTACATCCACCACCTCGTAAGTGGGAATAGAACCCAGGATTTTCGATTCCGCGTGTGAACGCCTAACCTCTAAACTACTGAGCTGAGATCCAACTATGTAAGTGTGTTACTTCAGATATATTACTTGATAATCTTTCATTGTTTTCATTTTTAAACTACCTCACACTCTATACAGTTGAAATTAACTGATCACTGTTCTGAGATAGTTGCTCAATATTCTGGATTGATTTAATGGTGGTCTTTCATTAATCGGTACATAAATTCAATATAACGTTCTTTATATTGAATTATGCAAAATAGCATTAGTATCCCACTTAGAATGGCTATAAAACTTGTAGGTGAATTCTAATGGACATTAATTTTGAAACAGACCGGAATTATCCCTATATTTCCTTCAATTAAATTATAATTTTTGTCTACAATTATAGTAATATATTATACAACAGGACGAAACGGCCGTCCAGTGCTTCCAGGTTCTCCATGGTGGTCTAGCTTCAATTGACTCATGATTTTAACTATACAATAAAAAAAATTACTAAAGTCTCCACAAAAAACCCTCTCATATATTAAATGTTTAAGAATTATCGTGAAAGGAGATTTCAGAGAGATTTCAGTCAAATTCTGTATGTTAAAATAAGTGATCATTCTATATTATCTTAAAAGAAAAACATATTCCAAGACTGGGTAAGCCTTATTTCATTCTATTGTAATACAATTATTACAATCAAATTAACAAATATTATCATCACAGATGAATAGTGGCTAGCAATGGAGTCCAAATCGCTAGTGTCATCCTATTCGGGATTTATAAGCTGGATGTACCTGCATCTCAGAGTTGATGTTCACTGTGGGACTCGAACCCGGTACCTGTTACCCACCTAGCTACTGAGTCCTGATAACCACTTTTTTGTACATTAGGATGAAATTTAAATTCATTCGGTATTGTTTTCTCCTAGAGTGAACATCAACTCTGAGATGCAGGTACATTATGCTGGATTCCACTGCTAGCCATTATCCATCTTTGCTTGTAATGCTTTTGAATTAAAAATATATCCAAGTAATATGAACAGAATGCGTATTAGCCAATAAAAGACTGATCAATTTCAGTCCTAAACATCAATAAGATGATCCAACCAAACAACACTAAATGATTTTAAATTAACAAATGTTTATTAAAAACGGAACATTTAAATCAATTATCTTCTAATTAAAACTTCTACTTTAATATTATAAGTTTTCAAATGATTAAGCTTATCATATACAGTTACAAATATCATATAGAAAATCAATTAAATTCTAATCATCATATAAATATACTACTTAAATGTACAAAAATAAAATGTAAATATAGAATTTACTCTAATCAGTTCATTAGCATATTTTTTAAGGTTATGAATAGTTTTATTGTTATGTTATTGCTAACAAATTAAAATGTTACATATTTATATGTGAAAGTTTCATGAATTATTCATGTATATAGTTAGTGAATTTAATTATATAATCAAAGTTTGAATCTAAAATTAGAAGATGGTTCATTATTACGAATATAATTGTATCTAGTTTACAAATCAGTTAAGAATAGATTTAAACAAACAATACTAAGTGAATTTAAACTTCACCCCATTGTACAAGCAAGTGGCTATCAAAACTCCTTAAATAAATGGATAACACCATGGTGTTAGAAGCGAAAGGTACTGGGTTCGAATCCCAGAATGAACATCAACTCTGAGATGAAGGTACATCATGCTGACGAGCTCCGAATAGGATGAAACGCGCGTCCTGGATTCCGCTGCTAGCCACTATCCATCTTGGCTTATAACGCTTGTGATTTAAGGTCATATCGAGGCAATATGCACAGTATGCATATATGCCAATAAGAGACTGACCAGTTGCAATCATAAACATCTATGAGAAGATTCAAACAAGCAATACTAATTGAAAGCGTGAGTCAATTGAAGCTAGATCACCATGGAAAACCTGGAAACACTGGACGGCCGTTTCCAGTGTTTCCAGGTTTTCCATGATGGTCTAGCTTCAATTGATTCACGCTTTCAACTATAGTAAATACTAAATCTCCACAAAACCCCTTCTATAATTAAAACTAATTGAATCAATTAAGAATAGCTTTCGTAGAAAAATGTGATGTGATTTTTTTTTCTTTTTACTAATCAAAATTTTAATAAACCTTTTATGTTTTGAAATGAAACTAGAAAAATCAGCTTAAAGAATATATCTTGATTGTTCTTAAGGTATAATGGTTCCCTTACTATATTTAACCATTTCAATAATTAACATAGTCATTCGTATCGTCTTTCACATTGGATTATTAATTTTACGGAAGACTGTTTCCAGTTTTTTCTAATTGACCGTAATCACACATTATACGTTATTAATTAACCAACTAGTTCATTTATCATATTGAAAATATGTTGTTGAGTATCAAACAACAACTAATCAACAAGTAAGTATAACTCTTTCAAGACACTTAGCAGCTAATACCCATAGATTTGTTACCAATAGCTATATTGCACATACCAATGTGATTTCAGACATAAAAGATATCAACAATTGATTTTTAACGGATTTAATCAAAGACTGAAAGTGACGTAATTTATAAAAAGGAAAAAAAAAGAAACGTCAAATTTAACTGAACTACAGCTAAATAAAGAGAAACGGTTAATAGGAATAAAATAAACAAACAAAAATATGAAAGCTAGACCATCATGGAAAACCTGAAAGCACTGGATGGCCGCTTCGTCCTATTGTGGGACTCCTCAGCAGTGGGCATCCACAATCCTACCTTGCGAGATTCGAATCCAGGACCGACCCATCTCACGCCAGAGCACTTAACCGATAGATCACTGAGTCGGCAAATAACGGTCTAACTTCAACCAATCCACGAAATTTGAGCAACTGTTCACCAATTGTCATCAGTGAGTTGATATCTCTACAACAGCTGTAGTTGAACTCCACTGGTCACCGCTTCCCTCTTGAACTCCAGGAAATATCTCTTGAAGTCAGTCACTAGTGAGCATATGATTATAGATCAGAAGGGGTTTTATGGAGATTTCAGCATTTCCATAGTTGAAATCATGAGTCCCATGATAGAGCAAAACGGTCGTTCAGTGATTCCATGTTTTCCATGGTGGTCTAGCTTCAATTGACTCAAGATTTCAACTATGAAAATACTGAAATCTCAACAAAACCTCTTCTAACCAAAAATATAGAAAACTAACATCCAAAATATTAAATTCTCTAGAACACAAATGTAATACAAATGTTAGCTCATATATATCAGAGAAAAACAAAACAATAGAAACTAACCTTTTGTATATATGTAACAATCTGTAACTTACTTGTTGATTACTTAAAAAATTTTAAACGAGCTTTTATCTATTTAATTTACCTAATTTATTTCAACTATAAAAAGTCGTCGAGTATTGCAAATTCAATATGCAGAAGGATATAATAATGTTGGTCCAATACGTTGGGAAATTAGTCTCTGCTTAATGGCTGTATTTACAATAGTTTATTTTTCACTTTGGAAAGGAGTTAAAAGTAGTGGAAAAGTAAGTATAAATAAATGTTGTTTTACTAAACTGTATATAATTTTAATTTAATTTTTGGTAAGTAAATTTTAAAAATCTGGAAGTTCTGAACGGACGTTTCATCCTATTGTTGGACTCTTCAGCATTGCGCATCCACGAAACCGCCTCGAGAGATTCGAACTGATAAATCTTGTTAATTGAACGCTATACTCTGAACCTAAGCTAGTCTCGTAACCCCCAAGTTAAATCTTCACAGAAACTTGAACACAAGAGAAAAGGCTCAAGGTGCGTTTATGTACTAAAAATATAGGGTTTTGATAAAATTTTAGAAGTCTTTGGGTTTCCTGAAAATTCTGGAATGCTAATAAACATAGTAGCGGTGTAGTAATCAGTCAGTCAGAAACTCTACATGTGACGTTTCACTTTCGTGATGTTTCTAGTCAAATGTCTAGTCAACGCTGATTGGATAAAATGCTTCTTCGTGTTTCCTGAGCCTTTCTTGTCTATTGCGAGAAATTTTCTGGACGATCTCAAAACGAACCGAGGACCTATCAGTCTCGCGAGCGAGCGCTTAACCTCTAAACCATTGCACCGGCATTCAGTGGTAATAATGTCTAACTCCAACTAATCCACGAAGTTGAGCAACCGTAAACCATTGTCTTCAGTGAGTTACTATGTCACAACAAACCTGGTTGAACTCCATTGGTCAGTATTTGCATAATTGTATATAGATCTCATTGAAAATAGTTAATTCTAGCATTATTTCTTACTGAAACTATTTCAATGTTTTATTGTTTGATTTTCAATGAGTTTTTTAATTAGACCATGTATTTTGGCTTTCCATTCATTCATAAAGTGTTTATAAATAAGGATATCACAAGTCTTATTTTTTCTCTCAACATAAAATATGGTTTGTTTATTCCTGTAAGTCATTTGATTAGTTCACTAAGTTATATTTAACATATTGTTTAATTCAGTAACTAAGGCTCTTCTAAAATACCTAAACCCTAAAGTTACCTAGCCTAACACTCATAGAGTTATTCATTGCCATCAGCCAAAATGAAACTTTTTAATATTCTCTCATTTACATCTCAGTCAGTAATACTGTTTATCAAATTGTATAATTCATTCCTAAAGATATTGTTGAATGGTTTCTCAATTTCGTGGATTGGTTGAAGTTAGACATTAACACCATTGGATGCCGACTCAGTGGTCTATCGATCAAGTGCTCGCGCGCGAGGCTAATAGGTCCTGAGTTCAAATCTCGCGAAGCGGGGTCGTGAACGCGCACTACTGAGGAGTCCTACAATAGGGCGAAGCGGCTGTCCAGGTTTCCTACGGTGGTCTATCTTCAATTGACTCATGATTTTAACTATATAAAGTTTTTTTATCAATATTAATGATATTTATGATTGACAACTTGTTTCTGTCAATTATATGAATTTTATTTTATTTTCATAGGCTGTATGGGTAACTGCTACTTTGCCTTATGTTATTTTATCTATTCTACTGATTCGTGGTCTAACATTAGAAGGTTCATTAACTGGTATTAAATACTATCTTACGCCAAATTTTTCAAGTCTGTTAAGTATTTCTGTAAGTTAAAATATTTTCAAATTTTAATTTGTTAATTCCGCCATATTCAGATAGATACTATACTCAACATTTTTTGGATTGATTTTCATCATAGAAACTAACTCGCCAAAATACCCTAACCAGAAAAAATAATTCAAACCATTTAAAGAACTCAAATTGAGCAGGTCCACTGAACCCACCCAACATCGAAGTAGCACCCACAGACCTCCCTAATCAATGTTGGCTCACCAACAGTTGAAAAGATCATCATGGCCGTCAGGCAAACCAAGAGCGGTAAAGAAGCGGGACCAGAAAACAATCCGGCAGAAGCACTGAAAGCACTCCACATTCTCTTCAGTAAGATTTAGGATGAAGAACAAGCACCAACGGACTGAAAAGAGGGACTTCTGATCAAAATACCAAAGAAAGGCGATCTCAGGAAGTGTGAGAACTACAGGGGCATCACTCTTCTGTCAATATCAGGAAAAGTCTTTTTAACAGGGTATTGTTAAACAAAATGAAGGACACCCTAGACGCCCAACTTCGAGACCAACAAGCTGGACTCTGGAAAAGCTTTTTAGGATTTAAAAACCTTTACATCTCTGATCAGCATCATTGATGAACACGGTGGATCTGATGCAGATGTGAAGGTGTAGATCGGCAAAACAAGAGCAGCATATATACAATTGAAGAACATTTTGAACTCAAAACAACTGTCAATCAACACCAAGATCAGAATTTTCAATACAAATGTCAAGACAGTTCTATTGTATGAGAAGGAAACTTGGAGAACTACGAAAGCCAACATCCAGAAGATTCAGGTGTTTATTAACAGCTGTCTACACAAAATACTTCAGATCCGTTGGTCAGACAGTATCAGCAACATTCTACTGTCGGAGAGAACAAACCAGATTTGAGTGGAAGGATAAATCAGCAAGAAGCGCTGGAAGTAGATCGGACACGCGTTGAGGAAAGAATCCAACTGCGTCACAAGACAATCCCTCACATGAAATCCTGATGGCCACAGAAGAAGGGGAAGACCATAGGACACATTACGCAGAGAATTTGAGACAGATATGAGAAGGATGAACAACAAATGAATAGAACTAGAAAGGAAGGCTCAGAACAGAGTGAGTTGAAGAATGCTGGTCAACGTCCTATGCTCCATTATTGATAACAGGAGTAAGTAGGTCAGTAACCTCCATAGACCTTATTCTCAATTAATGTTCGATCTGAAAATTTCAAAATAATTTTGTCTTGCTGTCTATTAAGATGCCAGTAACAATATTTTTGTACAACGCAGTCAGAATACCATTAAAATTATGTGATAACAGTAGTAAGATTGATAACAGTACTAGTGTTTCATTCAAACAAATATTTCTCTCCATAACATAACAGACAACTAATTTTTAAGTATGTATTTATTAACTGTATGCATATCTTTTAAAGAGTACATATCCGTCTGAGTGATCTGATTATATTTAACATATAAGAATGTATAATCCATGCATCGATAGCATAACTTATGTCAACAGACTTTTCAAAACAAACTGTTGAATTTCTTTTTTTTTAGGTTTGGAGTGATGCTGCATCTCAAATATTCTTTTCACTTGGACCAGGCTTTGGTGTTCTGTTGGCTTTATCAAGTTATAATAAATTTCATAATAACTGTTACAGGTTAGTAAAATAGTATTCCCAGCTATTTACCAGTTATATAGTATTTTGAAGAGCAATGTGAATTCTTAAGGAATCATCTCCTAGTAATATTATGATTCCAAACCAAACACTTGTTTAAAACTGAAAATAATGTTTCACATTCTAAATGCTTTTAAAGTTGTCCCACTGAATTGCAAGCTAATCAAACACAGTTGAATTCATGAGTCCGCCACAGAAATCCTGGAAGCATTGGACGGCCGTTTCGTCTTCGTATGGGACCCATCAGCAATGCTCATACACTACCTCGCACATGGGATTTGAACCCAGGAACATGATCTCGCATGCGAACGCTTAACCTATACACCACTGAACCAGAAGATGTTCAACTGTGTTGATGCCTAACTTCGACCAATCCATTATATTGTGCAATTGTCCAGTGTTTTCTCCAATGATTAACTGCCTCATAAGAGACACGGTTTAACTCCACTATTCACGGCTTCTCACTAGAACTCCGGGAAATACTAGTTCAGTGCTTTTAAGTTTTCTACGGTGGTCTAGCTTAAACAGACTCGTGAATTCAACAATTAAATAACTACAATCTCCACAAAAACCTCCAATTTAATAATAATTAAACACAATTCAGAGAAAATTTTCGTCTTAAAAAAAGTGATACGAATACGAAGTGTTGATTGCGTTTATTAATGAAGCACGCACAGATATCCAAAATTACAGGCACGTTAAACAAGCAGGAAAAAGTAGTGCCGAAAATGCAAACGAGTGAGCATGCGAGTCAAATGGGTGAGCGAGCGCTTGAGTCAATGACGGAGTTTGCGAATCTGTAAATAGAATTAAAATTTACATATATGTACATATGAAAACGAATGAATCATCAGATCAATTAAGTGACTAATAGTAAGGCTAGCAGAATGAATGTATACGTAGGCAGTAAGCAATGTTCAAGCATACATATTCATACATGCGCAACGATAATAAAGGTACAATATTATAGGTAGGTTGTTATTGTATGAATGAATCTATCCATTAAATAAATTAACAAAAGAATTTGACCAAATTAGATATAAACAAACTCATCTGTACATGAAGTGCAATAAAGCCATAGTATCTGGATTGCATAAGTTATTAATTTGTTCTCCCATTGAACCTAATAATTTGGCAGCGTATATAATTTAAAGTATCCTTCTAGTGAAGTATTGTGACTAGATTTGATAAGATGTTCAAATATTAAGCTATTCATCGTTTTACATTCTACCTTCAAAATCCATATGTTGTAATACTTAGTGATGCAAATAGATAGACTTCACATTGTACAACCACTTTGATCTATATCATCATATAGGTTGGGCAAATTTCTGATTACTTCTTATGTCCACCAATATGTTAATAATTTATTTCTTACCTTTCTTATACTTATCAATTGAGCAGTTATCTTTAATACATTAAGATAAATCTGATTACTTATCTTCGAACTCTTGATCATTATTCGAACTTCATTGAATCCATAAAGTTTTCAAACAAGTAAATATTTAATAGCAGAAGGGGTTTTTGTGAATATTATAGTAATTTTAATAGTTGAGATCATGAGTCAATTGAAGCTAGATCATCATGGAAAATCTGGAAACACTGGACTGCCATTTCATCCTATTTCTGAGGAGTCCCGTAATGGTCCGGAACGGCCATCCAGTGCTTCTAGGTTTTCCATGGCGGTTTAGCTTCAATTAACTCATGATCTGAAGTATTAAAATTTATTATTTGATCTTTTTGCTATCAAAAAAAAAATAGATTACCATCTCTGTCAACTTATTATCAATACATTCAATAAGTGATATTATTGAAAAAGGAAATTTTCTTGACTGAAAGGTTTTTTTAATTTTTCATGAATGAAATAATGAGTTTCTTCGTTTATATACAAATATGCCCTGGTACAGCCGAGAGTGAGGAGGGCCCAACCCCTCCCTCAAAATGCTCTCAAATGGCCACGTGTATATGGACTGTGCAAGGGAAGTCCTACTAACTGCCTTCTTGTGGAATTGTTGTTGTTTACGAAATTGAGAGGACGAAAAGCGAATGTCCGGAGCTTTAACCGGGTTGGTGGACACGGAAAGTCCACCTAGGGGAGTTAGAAAACCCTGATTCCAAACCAATGGTGCACATGGGTTCCAGTATCCTGAGGGAACAAATGGTGTATGGACCAATCGTCAGTCACTGGCTACCATGAGACTGCATTTCACGATGCTACATTGCCTTGTTGATCACACCTTTCCAGTGTGGCTCCTTAAGAAAACCACCTGCTTTGGTCTGAGCACTCAGGCAGTATCATAGCCCTAACACAATTAAATGAAATGACAATTTTTTTGTGTGGCGCATATATATCTCGGACCCTTTGTACCAATATTTATGTGTTCAAATAAATAAAATGCTTAGTTCGTCAATATCAAAGTTACATTAACTGTTTTCATCAGGTTTTAACTGTGTTATTCAAAGTAGACTGAATTAAAACCTAAATATGAAACAATTTAATGATCTAATAAAATAATAAACGAAAGTGACCGATATCATTTTCTTAATTCGTTTAAACCATGAAATCCGCCTAAATTTTTTAATTGTTGCGCAAGAGTTGATGATAAAAAAATAATAAATAAGATGACAGACAATGGTTGAATGGGTGTGCAGATATTCATGGGTCGATGAAAGTTAGACGTTGACACCGTTGGATGCCGTCTGGCTCAGTGGTTTAGAGGCTAAGTGTTTACACATTAGACCGAAGTTCCTGTATTCAAATCCCTCATGCGGAATCGTGGATGAGCAATGCTGTAGAGTCCCATACCAATCATTATTTAGACAAATTTTTTCAAATATTTGTCAATTTCAACTGTTTAATAATGTAGTTGAAAGAAATATAACTCATGGCTCTAATATATCTGATCATAATGAATGATTCTGCATTAAAAAATATACACTAAAATACAAACTATCTATATCAATCTGTTGATAAAATTAGACTTTTCAGAATTAATGGTAAAAATTATTATTATCAGAAATGGTTTTTGTGGAGAGTTAGTATTTTCATAGTTGAAAGCGTGAGTCAATTGAAGCTGCTGAGGAGTCTCACAATAGGACGAAACGGCCGTCAAGTGCTTCCAGGTTTTCCCTGGTGGTCTATTGACTCACGCTTTCAACTATAAAAATTATTACATTTTAGATTAATTTTTATTTTATTTTTTTTCATTACATATAAACAGAGATGCAATGATTACCAGCTTTATTAACTGTGCAACAAGTTTTGTGTCAGGATTTGTGGTCTTCTCTGTTTTGGGATATATGTGTTTCCGAATGGGAAAAACAATGGAAGACGTAGCAAATGAAGGTATGTGTGATACTTTGCGAAAAAATTTTTCTATTTGTTATTTATAATCTTAAATTTCTTACATCGGTTAGCTGTTTATGTAGAGAAAGCTTTGTTCAACAATCTGTTTTTTTAGGTATTCAGTATCTATTATGGCTGACTGTGGATTAAAATAAATATTTTCTTTAAACAGATGCATTGGTAATGATATGTTTAGTCTACAAAACATTTTGCATACTTCCAACATTTCCAATAAGTAGAAGGGGAGTTTGTGGAAACTTTAGTAATTTAATAGTTGACATCATAAATCAATTGAAGCTAGACCACCATAGAAAACCTTGAAGCACTAGGCGGTGGTTTCGTTCTATTCTGGGTTTCCTCAGCAGTGTGCATCCACGATCACGCTTCAAGAGATTTGAACCCAGGACCTAGCAGTCTCGAGCGCGAGCGCCCAACCATTAGACCACTGATAGGTCCTGGGTTCGGATCTTGTGAGGCGGGATCGTGGATGCGTACTGCTGAGGAGTCCCACAATGGGACGAAATAGCCGTCCAGTGCTTAGAGGTTTTCCATGATGGTCTAGCTTTGAATGATTCATCATCTCAACTATAAAATTTCCAACAAGTGTTATTCAAAATGTATGAAAAGTGTTATAATACTATTAAGAATGTTTACTTCAGTCACAATTTATAAATGTGCATGATGTTTCTTTATAGTTAGAATGTTGATTTCACTAGCTTTTACTTTTCTTATATACATTATAGAAATTATTTGTCCCATAGACATTGAAATTGCGTATTTTGTTATGTAATCGTTTATTCCTTCCGTTTTCCTCTATCCTATGTCTCTTAGTTTATCGACTCTATACTTGTGTTTTTTCTATTACCTTCTTTACTATACTCAGTAATTTGTCCTACTTTTAAAATATTTATACTAGTTATCAAACGTTTTGGAATAGGCTGTGGTGACAAATGCTCACCAACAATTTAGACTTAGCCATTCGGTTAGGAAAATAGTATATTGTTCCTGATCGGGAAAGAAATCTAAACATACCATTTTTCCAGATGTCTTCGTTCGTTTGTTTTAACTTCTAACAGATATTAAATAAATGTTGCCACTTGCAATCTCAGTGAAGGAGGACCATGAAATGCTTGAACAGCAGAATGTATTATGTAGTGTTTCGACTTCATTTATACCTGATTTTTAACTAACATTTTTTGAATGATTTTCAAGCGGTATTATATTTAGTCTTTGGCTAGCACCCTTATTGACATCTGAGGAGTTGTGACAAGTTCTGAAAACGTTTTTGCGAAATTTCAGCATTACGAAGTTATCATGATGACAATTAAATATTATTCCTGCTTCAGTTTGGGCACCTGGGCAGTATCACAGCCCTTACACAAATCAAATGAGATTTGTGTGGCGCATATATATCTGGTGCCCCCTTGTACCAATATTTATGTGTCTAAATAAATAAATAAACTCTAGAAATATGGTATAGGCTTAATAGTTTGTCAAAAATTTATTAAACTTGAATTTCGGTACCAATGAATTTCCTCTTATTGATTTAATGATATTATGTTTTCTGCTATACCTAATGATCATATTTCACCTTTACTACTATACAGTAAGTGTATTTATTCTCACATGTATAATATCCTCACGATTTGTATTAAGGAATACTTTGACGTCCAAGTAGATAACAATTGAACAAATGGAATCTATATTTAATCTAATGATTTTTGAACACAGAAATGTTAATAACTAAAATAACCTTCAAAATAGCGGTATTCAAATTTGATGTAGGTTTAGTCAACTGAAACAAACCACTTGATGGTATTTAAAATATTTGTTATCTTAGCCGATTAAACATTTATAACATAGATACTCAGTCATTTGTAAAGTCTATTGAAGTATAAAGGACTCAGTGATTGTTAATCAATAGTATACAGATCGTTTTGTTCTACCTAGACTTTGTAGCAATGAAATTGATGTACATTTATATACGTATATTATACGTGGTCGATACATTAATAATGCGAACTAGGCGACAATTAATTTTCGCAAAACTATCAACAGGTCTAAATTTTGAAGGGTTTTTAAAGCTATACAGCACTGAAGATCACAGCTTTTTGAAATACACTGAAACTTGCAGTGAAGGCTACCAGGATCTTTACGATGATAAAAGTCTCTGATAATTGTCAACTTATGTCTAAAATTATCTCTACTCTCTGATTATCAGCTGAATTTGCGATTGATTAGTCATGAGTTAAGTTCGAACATATCATTTATGCACTCGATAAAATTAATCCATTTTACAGCTAAGAAAACTGTGTAAAATGATGAAATTTATGAAAATGTGGACTACTAAGAACTATCCAAAATATTTTAAACGACAGAAACGAATTCAAGATAAGTACACTATCATCAGTTGAAGTACTTTGAAAAGAATTAAATGTATGAAGCATAAAAGTTTTCAAAATAAATCACGATCACTTTGAGTAGTACCTCATATTATGAAATGTTATACACTATGGATTACGTATTCTGAACGACATCATCAGCACAAATTTCTGATAGAATGGGTTTATCTAGTTTGAGTACATAAAACAAAAAGTAACTTCTTATATACGTTTATCATTTCTAAATTTTGGAAAACCGTACAATTTGGTTATTGATGCATATTTTTGTTTTTTTTTGTTTATAGGACCTGGTTTAGTATTTATTGCTTATCCTGAAGCCATTGCAACATTAACTGGTTCAACATTTTGGGCAATTATATTTATGTTAATGTTGATAACCTTAGGTCTTGATAGTACAGTAAGTATATATTTGTTATTAATTTAAAACTAATTTTATTAGACTTAAATACAATTAGTCAATATTTATGGTGCATATGAGGAATCCCACAATAGAACGAAAGGGTCGTCCAGTGCTTACAGGTTTTCCCTGGTGGTCTAGCTTCAATTGGCTCACGCTTTCAATTATGAAAATACTAAATCTCCACAAAAAACCCCTCGTGATAAAGAAATTAAAGTTTATGGTAACAAACAAAATAGATTGGAAATTACTTTTCTAGTATTGGAAATACAACATATTCTGTAGTATTACTTAGAAACTGATGTTTTGAACATGGTTGTCGCTACGTGATGGTACTCAATTGAATATCAAGATGAAAAATGTTCATTCATATTCAATTACTGAAAGTATCGTCAATTAGAAAGCTTACTTTAAAACTCATATTCATCATCAAACATTCTCTAGGTATAAGTGAACACATTGTTTACCTCAATATATATATATATATATATATATATATATAAGTCAAAATTTTATGTTTATTATACATTCAAGATGTCAAAGGGAATTCAGTAAATATTCGTAATATAATTCAATTTTTAGAAGATTAAAGAACACGGTAAGATTAAACTATACTGCCGACCTTTGAACGAATCTTAAATAACCTTGAGAAATATTAGCCAATCAGAAGACAGTTTGTATACAGTAAAAATTTATTATACAAAACCAAAGAATTAAAGTGGAAACACTTCTTTTACATGAGTCAAATCTTCTGTAGGTCAGATATAGGTTCACAAGTTCTAAAATCATGGTGCATACGGTACAGGAGCATATCCATAAGGCTTCACAGTAGTCGACCTCTGAAACTACGATAAGGTCTCAAAAATCCCTTTAGCCTCGACCATATAGCTTCAATAATGTTAGTATATTGGTATGGTTTACGATTTAGGGTTAGAGTTAAGGTTTCGGGTTAAGAGTGAGACTATAATTTATGAATGACCTTTGAGCGACGCTAGAGTGACTCTGAGAATGTTAAATAATAACTAAGACCAAATGACGGTTATAGACCTGTAAGAAGAATTCAAATTATGATTTACAGTTCATGGTTAAGGCTAGGAATTATACTTAGGATTTTCATCACGAACTGACATCAGCTATAATGCCAAAAATCTATTTATCAAAATGGGTAATTGAATTTCGCGCCAAAACCTTATGATCACTTCTCTTGTAGACGCTGAATTATCACGTCTTCCCTAAAATCCGCAGTAAAGCGATCCTACGTAAGCATCAGGTACCGAACCTAGCGCCGTGACCTTGAAAACCTGCGAAAGCTTCTGATTGATTCGGCAGTATAGTTTAATCCTACCAAAAACACTTCATAGAACAATAGATGTAACATTTAAATATTAAACTATGAATGTTATCAATCATTTTTAAACAAAAACCGGAGTTTTCAAATAAGAAATAAATGATAGACTTATAAAGTCAAAATATCATGTTAAATTTCACCACAGTTGAATTCATGAGTCGATTAAAGCCAGACTACAACAGAAAACCTGGAAGCATTGAACGGCTGTTTCGTCTTCGTATGGGACTCATAGGCAATGCCCATACATTACCTCACACATGGGATTTGAACCCAGGAACATGGTCTCGCGTGCGAACGCCTAACCTTTAGACCACTGGACCAGAAGATGTTCAACTGTGTTGATGCCAAACTTCGACCAATCCACTATATTACGCAATCGTCCACTGTTTTCTCCAATGATTAACTGTCTTATAACAGACACTGTTTAACTCCACTGTCTACAGCTTCTGACTAGAACTCCAGACAATCCATCATGAAGCCAGTCACTAGCGAGCAGATGATGATTATTATCAAAATGGTGGTCCGTGACTGTAGTTACACTAAACGTTCTTAAGTTGAATAACTTGCTTTCATTCTTTACTTGTTCATAATTTAACGTAGATGAAGAAATTTGGGAATTTTCGTTTGTTTGCTTACTAAATAATAACTATGTTTAGATAATTATTTATTTTGTAGTTGTAAATCATCAGTCAATTGAAGCTAGACCACCATGGAAAACCTGGAAGCACTGGACGACCGTTTCATCCTATTGTGGGACTTCTCAACAGTGCGCATCCACGATCCCGCTTCACAAGATTCGAAACCATGACCTATCAGTCTCGCGCGCGAACCCTTAACCACTAAACCACAGAGCTTTCTTTTTTTCTTAGCAAGAAATAATCATTTAACCATCAAATTGATAAATAATAACAATTTTCTTTTAGTACATCGTAATGATGTAAATTTTAGTTTCAGATGAACATAATTCGGAAAACTTTTTTTCTTCTAATCAAAACAGTAACCGATGCAAAAATATTATTCACTATTCTTTACATAAACTATTTTGTTTTTCAGTGTATCAGACGTTTATAAATTAAACCATTAATTATAAAAAAAATACAGAAAAAAAAGACGGAAACTACTTAAATTTGTAAATATGTCTTAAAAAAAATTAATAACCATCTGTGAGTAAACACAATAGTAACACTGGAATAACAACACATAAGTTTCATTAATAATATTGCGCGTCATGTTGTACGTCCCCCCATCGCCACCACCACTATGGTAATAAAATGAATGATTTATTTGTTTAGACAAGAAAAGAAATGACAGCTCATTAATGACAGGTGAGTTCAAAATGGAAGCTGAAAATTGTGAAGCACTACCTTTTAAAACTTAGGTTTTCAATAATAGTTTAATATCTATGACAATTCTTTTTTAGTAAATATAAGCTTTCTTTTTTTTCATATATATGTCGTTTGTAGTTTGGTGGTCTTGAAGCAATTATAACAGCAATCATGGATAGTGTCCCTGCATTATCTGGTAGACGTGAGGTGTTTGTTCTTGCTGTGGTTATTTATTGTTTTATCGGAGCTTTACCATCTACTACATGTGTAAGATAATTTACTTGTGAAATTTCATAAATGTATAATAATAAATACTTATTATAGGTGTACGATCTGTAGAATTTTTCTTTTTGTCCAAGTATCGTATGAACTTAGATGTTGACGTTTAGAGAAATACCGAATTTATCAAATTTGAGGTCTAATCTTCTTTGAACATAACAATTCCTAAAATCTTAATAGGTTTCGATAAGATACCGGAACTGTTTTCCGATTTTCTTATGTATTTTAAAACATGCATATGATTCATAAGCAGAGATGGGTAGTGGCTAGCAGTGTAGTCCAGGACGCGCGTTTCGTCCTATTTGGGACTCGTCAGCTGGATGTACCTGCATCTGAGTTGATGTTCACTCTGGGACTCGAATCCAGTAACTTTCGCTTCAAACGCCATCGCTTTACCCATCTCTTCTTACCATTCTTATGAATTAAGGCAATATTGAGGCAATACGCACAGTATGCACATATGCCAATTACAGAGTGACCAGTTGCAGTCCTAACAAATCGATGGGAAGATTCAAATAAACAATACTGAATGAATTTATGCGTATTATTCATTTCAGAGTTATTTAATCGTATAGTCATATTCACTAATTTACTAATATAAATCATTTTTAAGTTAATCACTGACTGCATAATCAAATAGTTACTTTAAGGGAATGAAAAAGTCGAATTTAAATAAGCATGTCATCTTTTCTTTAACAGAGAGTACGATGCTGAATTACTTAGCGATACACAAATCCAAATTGAATAAAATCAAGTTAACATGACTTTTAGGACCGCAAATTCCGTCAAACATTTTCCCAAAGATCTATAAGAGATACTTTATTTGATAAATTTAGACGGTGTCTACTCACTATTTTGTCTATAATTACTAACATACCTAACTGTTATAAATCGAAAATGTTTGATTCATAAGAGTTAAAAAAGAAATAAGCTGACCAGAAAGGGTGATATATATTTAAAGTATCCTGAAAGCTATATCATTCAAAAAATAATTAAGTTTCTTATAACTAATTAATCATTTGAGTAAGTACATCCATATACTTTACATACATAAATGAATTTAATGAAAAATTGCCTTAATGAAATTGTTACTGATCAGTCTGGGTTTATAAATGATTCTATTCTGTTATAATAATAATAAAAATTAATATGGCTATTATCAGAAGGGATTTTGCGGAGATTTAGTATTTTCATAGTTGAAAGCGTGAGTCCATTAAAGCTAGACCACCAGGGAAAACCTGGAAACACTGGACGACTGTTTCGTCCTATTGTGGGACTCGAATCTCGCGAGGCGAGGTCGTGGATGCGCACTGTTGAGGAGTCACATAATTTGGCTATGAAAATGGAAGAAGGCAAAGACGTCTTGGAGATTAGAATCTATTTAAAATCAAATGCAATCAATAACTATATACAAACAGTCTAATATTTATGTTTTGTTTGCATTTATAAGTAGTTACATTCTAAATCAGCTAAACTAAGTAGCATCTAACAATAATAAATAACTTCATAAATCAAAAGGCTTTACAATACTATAAGAATACAATACAATAAGCAACAAAAGTATCTAATTTACTCTTATTTATTTGCTTCTTCTGAACCTATAAGCATATTGATAAATGTTTATTGTATGAAATGTTGAAATTTGAAAAAATATCACTAGAACATAATTTAACTTAATTCACTTTGCCATTTCATCCAGTCATTCTGGAGTAAATATCGTGGATGTTCATTGCTGAGTAGTCTCATACTAGGACAAAACAACCTTTTAGAGTTTTCATGTTTTCTATAGTGGTCTAACTTTAATCGACTCATGATTTCAACTATTGAATTACTACAATCTCGATGATATCCCCTTTTCTAGTAAATATATTCATTTAAATTTATATTAAAACATTTTTACTGTTGTTTTGATGGTATATATATATATTAACTTTTTATTCCAGGGTGGATATCTTGTTCTAACTATGCTTGATCGTCATGGTGCCCCAATCTCAATTTTATTCATTGTATTTTGTGAATGTGTAGCACTGTGTTGGTTTTATGGTAAGTATTAATAATAACAAAATACATAAATTTAATCAAAATAAATATCTGTAAATATGTTTCTTTTTAATTATTAAAATCTAAATAATAAAACCTTGCTTTAAAAACTAAACCAATAAAAATTTAACACCGTTGAAAAACAAAAACAAAAAATTATTTGATCTAACTACTTATTCACAAAGTTGAGCAACCGTTCACCAATTATCTTCAGTGAGTTGATATCTCACAACGGATCTGGTTGAACTTCACTGGTTACTGCTTTACACTAGAACTCCAGGAAATATCTCTCGAAGTCATTCACTAGTGAGCATATGATTATTATCAGAAAGAGGTTTTGTGGAGATGTCAGTATTTACATAGTTAAAATCATGAGTCAACTGAAGTTAGACATTCATTACTAGTTATATTGTAGTGAACGAGAACACGAGGTGGGTACAATTGAACGTGTTTCAATAAAAGATTACAGAACCTCTTAGTAAAATATGAGAACCATACAGTAAATACTCAATCAATTGCCACAAACTTGACTATTCCTTTTGCAAATGTCAACCAATCGTCTCAGACTTCACTGTTTCTTCATTTCCACAGTAATCATTCACTGTTCTCGTTCTTTTGTCTTTGATCTTCTTAACCTTCTGCTGCCAGATATTTCACTTTCAATTGATGTTGCATACTACTTAGATCTATCGATATTAGTAGCACATATCAGCATGTGGATGGAATAAAACCGTTTTAAGCTTAACTTCCAATGTAAAATAAATGAAATAAACCAATTGGATCTGCTTTCGATTAATTCTGGTTTGGAAGCTATTCTCAAGTTGGAGATCTTAATTCCTTAAGCAAACATGCTATATTATCTAGTTTTTAATTGCGCTACCTGATAACACCGCTACCAGTGATCTATGTGGTAAAACTTACGAATAACCGGTTTCGTAGGAAGAATTCACTGTTTCATAACTAGAACAGTTGTCCTCTTGAACACAACTGATTCACATATATATTTTAAAGTTACATACCTAGTTGGCAACTAAAGCATATGGTTTCCTGTTTCTCATAATGTTTTGGGATCGATAAATTAGTTCCATCGAAGTTGTCTGATTCATTTTAAATGCACATGGAGGAGGCCAACTTAGGTAACTTATCCTTTGTTTGAGTAGACATCACTGGTCGACTCGCATTGACTTTCTCGAGTCGACCAGTGATTCATTTTTACTCCCATTTGAGTTTTGATGTAGAATAAATTTTACACAACTCTTTGTAAACAGTCATGTATATTTCGAAGCATGTTGCTTTATTGTTTAGGTACCAAACGATTTTGTAATGACATACAAATGATGCTAGGTTTTAAACCTGGTATATTTTGGCAAATCTGCTGGGCCTATATAAGTCCAATTTTCTTGCTGGTAAGTTCCGATAGATTTCATTTATATTTTTTTAATATAAAAATATATTCAAACTGGTTAACAGACTTTAAATTCCGGGATCATTTATTTCCAAAGTTTGAAACTTCAAATATTCTAGGTTCCTTTTAGTACAGAATTAAAATTGATTTGATTTACTATAACTTCTTACAGACTGAATGAAAGGGAATGAAACAAATTTATCTCTAATACGTCTGTGATGATAAGGTCTAAATTCAACGTTATCTTGGGAACGTTATACTGCAGTTCACTGAAAACAACTCTTCCGTTAATGATTTTAAATTATACTGGTAGTGTCTTATTATTTCCTGTGCACAGAAGGTCATACATTCTTGTACTCAATGATACAGATGGTTACTGGGCTAACATAGTTGACATTCACTTTGAATTTTATCGAAATATATTGAAATTTATTGATTGTTTCAATAAAAGTAACCATGAATAGGCTATTGATTATGTACATTGAAATGACATTCATAATTTAAAATCATCCAATTCAAAGAATCTAATATAACCATAGTGGTTTGAATGAGTTTCTAGCTGAACACATTTACTGATTATTCATGAAGAATTCTTTGAACCTTGAAATGGTGGTTAGCGTTTTTTTTCTGATTAGCGTTTTTTTTAGCAAGTTGGTTTTCTGCGGGATGTTGTCGCTAACCCCATGCCCAATCCTCCTCCTTTACCCGGGCTTGGGACCGGCAGTAGCCCCCGGAGGAGCTACAGGCGGAATTTTGAAGTGATGGACCGCATAATAAATAACTTTTCTAATGACCTTAGTTTTTTAAATAATCCTTATTTGTTTGCTTCACTCCGAAGATTTATCTTAAGTTGAAACTTAAACTATTTTGTGATACAATCAGCTAATAAATGATGAATATGATATTATTTTGAATGTGATTTTAAATTTTAAAAAATATAACTACATCAATGAACTATGAAATATGGGTCAAATCAAAAATATCTCCGTTTTGAATATTCAGTTTACATTTACAGGAGAATGTTAAACATATCATGATATAGTTTTCTGCTTTAGTTTGAATGTACCAACTCATTTCCCATGGTATAATTTAACCGGAACAATTTATCACATAGATACATATATATAAGTAACTATAATGTAAAACAGCTTGATGTCGATAGAAATTTGCATATAAATGAAATATTAATCGTTAATCATCTATCGTTATATTACATAGAATCCCTCCCTCTTCATAAACACGAACACAATCATACACATATACAAATCATATTCTTCTTATATATTTATTTTCCTTTTCTTGAACCACTTGTTCATTCACTATCGCTCGCGTTATTTCTTTTCTCCGTCATCTTTATTTTTCTCGTTTTTTTGTTTTGTCTCACTAATGACTTTATGTTGTTTTCTACTCTTACAAGTTAGAGAATCAAACATCTTAGATGACTTTTTCTCTGTCATCTGATATCTTATTTTTGTTAAGAAAATAACATATATTAAAAGTACCATTTCTTGGTGTTTTTTTCCGTCATCCTTTTCTGATTTAGGCTACTCCAAAAAAAAGTAACTGACACAAATCATAGAGAACTAAAAAAAATCCCATCAACATTTCTACATTCTTAAGTCGTTATCATCAGGCTTCAGCTTAGACAATATTTGATGATCCTATAATACAAAGAGAGGCACAGAGAGAGAGGGAAAGATAAATTCCCCTCCGTAGAAAAAATGCTACTGAACAAAATAATCGTTTGTTTTTTCTTTTTTTTATATGAAAATTATCATTACTACTAATATTGTAAATAAATCAGAAATTTTTTTGTTTATTTACATCATTTAAAATCTAATCAAGCTAACAATATTTTAATTAATGACTATAATCGACTTAGTTTGAATAGTAAACATAGTCCAACACTTAACATTTAAACAACATATATATAGTTATACTACAATGAATAGTTAAGTATTCATTATAAACATTTACTGATGTTCGAAAAGGGTGCATTGTGGTGTAGATATCAGTGATGAAACATTGGTCATCAGTTTTTAAAGAATAATTTTCTATTTTAATAGTTGAAATTATGAGTCCGTCTCGTCCTCCTGCTGAGGAGTCCCACAATAAGATGAAACAGTCGTCCAGTGCTTCTAAGTTTTTCATGAGGGTTCAGCTTTAATTGACTCATGATCTCAACTATTAAAATTACTATAATATCCACAAAAAACCCTTCTGATATTAATTTTTTTATTTGCTTAATCATTAAACATATATACCTTAAGCAATTATGTTGTTTGTTATGATTTATGTAAATACATTTGCCTAGATCTTTTGTTAATTATTGACTCGTACATGCCATTTTGTGAAACTGATTCTTACCTGTTCCATACAATGTCATAATTAAATCTTTCCGATTTGTTACTGATTTCATGCAGAAGTAAGATATTTATCGTGGAAGTGGGAATATAAACCTCATCTATGGTTCGTGTACAGTTAAGTTAAAAGTAGAATTATGTATCAAAACATATTATCCTATGTACAATATCTAAAAGACTGTTAATCCATACTTATTATAAATTCTAGACTGCTAGATCTTTAAAATTCAAGAGTATTGTTACTTCATTGATGTAAATTTCAAAAGCTTTTTGTTGCATTCACAACTATCCATGCAACAACAAAAAATTAGATGAAGTTCTCATTTTTTTGCATGAAGTGACTGAAAGGCATCAGAACTAGTGTTCATCAAATAAGTGTTATAAGATCCTATGACCTAAGAAGTTATAATCGTAATACTAATCTTATTGGCAATGTTCAAACTTATGAATCGAAGATTATTGTGGAGCTGATTAATTAAATGATCAAAGTACTTAACCAGAAGGCAAAAACCTTTGCTTAAGTGATTTCGTATGTAACTGGTTTTACCGTCAGTTATCCTAAGATATCAATATTTGAATAAATTTACAGTTGATTAGCTACTACTGAGCATTTTTTTCACCGTAAGAAGGAAAACAAGCAGTTCATTCACTAGTCTCATATACAGTTTTACAGTGATGAACGTTTATATAACATGAAGTTAATTTTGACCAATATAACGGAATCATTCGTTTTTGGTTTACGATGAACAACTAACTAATCGAAAATGACTTAATGTTTCCATAATTTGAGTCATGAAAATTTGTAGTATTTCTTATTGAATTTCATCAACCCTATTCCTACGTATTGAGAAGGGATTTGGGTTCGTTGAAGGATTGTACTTTTAATGAAGGGACTTCAGTTTCTTCACAACACTGTGAACGCCTGTTACCCCTCATGGAGGAGCATAGGCCACCCAACAGCATTCTTCATCCAACTCTGTCCTGGGCAATCCTTTACAGTTCATTGCAGTGGCTACTCATCCTTATGATGCCTTCTTTCAATTCCCGGTATATTATGTTCCTTGGTCTTCCTCTTTTCCGTTTACCTTCAGCATTCCAAGTTACCACTTGCCTCGTGATGAAGTTTGTTGATTTCCTCAATGTACGTCCAATCCACTTCCAACGTCTCCTCTTAATTCTCTCTTCAGATGGAAGCTGTTTTTCTTCTCCCTCAGTAGGCTGTTGCTGACAGTATCCGATCAACGAACATTGAATATTTTACGTAGACAACTGTTTATAAATACTAGTACCTTTTTGATGATGGTTGTGGTAGTTCTTCAAGTTTCATCTCCTTACATTAGGACTGTCTTGACGTTCGTATTGAAGATTCTCACCATCATATTGATTGATAGTTTCTATGACTTCCAGATGTTCAACAGTAGGAGTAACGTACTTTGCCAATCCTCACCTTTACATCTGCATCAGATCGTTCTTGTTTATTTATGTTTCTCTCCAAGTATGTGAAAGATTGCACATCTTTCAGAGCTTCTCCATCAAGTGTGATTGGGTCGGTGTTCCCTGTATTTTATTTGAGGATCTTGTTTTTTCCCATATTTTTGCACAGTATGAATAACCAATTAATTGATTGTTTCACATACTTAAATTTATTCTTTTTCCTATCAAGGGTATTTTTATTGCAAATATAGTTTCTTATGAAACACAACCTGTTTCTGTTTTGGGCGTTGTCTATGAACCTACAACCTGGGTTATTGTACTGTCATGGGCTATAGTGTTCTCATCTCCAATATTCATTCCAATCTTAATGATATATAAATTACTGAAGGCTAAAGGAACTTTTGTTGAAGTAAGTAACACATTTTGAATTTTTAAGCATTGTTCGCAATTTGATTAAATTTAAATATTTTTTTTACCTCATAGGAAAATAAATGAATTAAGTTAACTGAATAGCTGACTTGGAATTTTTACTATTGACTTCATATCACTTACTAGTCATTTTTCTTAGACTGACGTCAACATTAACAGTTAGATGTGACATTGCCAATATTTCTGTTGAGAAGTACTTGTTTATGTTAATCTGTTAAGTCTAGATAATATGATAAGAATGCATTATTATAAATTTCTTAAAAAACTGAACTAAAATAATCAAAAGTCAATAATGTAATAAGGATACTGTTGAATTTCACTGAAAAAACGAGCCAAATAAAATTAGACAACCATTGGAAATATAGAAGCACTGGAAAGCCTTTCCGTACCTGTATGGTACCCCTCCGCAATATATATACGCGAATCCGCAACCTTGAATTGAACCAAGCACCTTTGGTCTCGCGTGTGAGTGCCTAACCTTTAAACAGCTGAACCGGGATATCAAGCTGTATACACCTAACTTTAGTCAGTCCATGATAGTGCACGACCATCTTGTCGTTGATGGGTAAGTTCCTCACAACTGATATAGTTGAACTCGACTCTTCAGGCTAGCCACTAGCAATTACATGATAACTGTCAGTTTAGGTCTTTGAAAACTTTTGAATTTTACTGGGATGATGAACTCATCAAAGCTGCGCACTTCTGAGGAGTCCCATACTGGGACGAAACAGCAGCCTTATGCTTTAAGATCTTCAGTGGCTGTCTAACTATTAATGATTCTTGATTTAAATGTTGTCATCACAGTAAGTTATAGACAATGAAGTATCTTTCTACAAATAATGTTTGACAGGTTTCAACAACACTTTAGCAAATTCTACTCCTCAAACATTTTAACAGGGAAACATTCAAGTTAAAATACTGATATAATATGGCTCTGTACATTTTTATAATTGATCGACAGTACAGACTGTGACGTTAACACAATAGTAATTTTTACTTGATATTAAAAAACAAAACCCTTACTTTTTCAAATGAAATATGTTTCAATAACTTCTTACCCACACTATTAATTTTCTATTATTTGTAGAGATTACGTTTTCTTATAACACCTGAAGATCGACCAGCTTACGGGGATCAACAAATTACATTAAATGCCGTTGGTGAATATGTACCAAAGAAAACATTCAAAACAAATAAGTTATAAAGGAAATTCCCAATGATATCATATACAATATTTATACAATTATAATATTCACCTCAATCTTCTAACTATCAATTTAGTATAATATAAATATACATTTTCAAGATTTATTATGTTACACATGTTCAGAAAGGACATATATATATATATATAATGTCTTAAATATATCAACTCTCTTCCTTTCTTTGGTTGGACCAATATCAAGTATACCACTCATAGTGAAAACGTTTACAATTACTCATTTAATTACAATATATTATCTTTATTCTAGATATTCATATCCGATACATTGAATTTCAGATAATATGAAATCGTTTATAACTAAGAGTTTGAAAGGTTAACGAAAACGGAAGCTTTATTTTATCATTAACTACCTTAAAGATCTGTTGTTGTTTTGTTTTTATTATTTCAACAATTGCAACATATTTGACTATCATGTTTAAGTTCATTTATCTTTTTCATGTCTTTAAATTGTAACCCTTACACCTTCCACTTATCTCTCAAAAAATATTATGGGCAATAAATCACCAAACACTAGGATTATTCTTGACGAAAGTGAAGACTAACATGTATGAACCAGATTATGGTTCGAAATTCACATTAACAGTTGATCGTCATACACGTTACTCTTATTTAAGTGTTTATATATATATTCCTTGAAAAATAATCTTTTTTAACTATGAATCCCATAACCTTTTATTTGTACTCTACTACATATTACAATTTACATGGTACATATTTATAAAGGTATGTTGTTAACTAATTATTCTGAATAAACTTACATCAAAAAATAATTAATGTTCAAAACCTTTTTATGTTAAACAATTCATACTACTTATTTTTATTTAAGTAGTTAAATGATAATAGCATTACTGTTTTTGCCCATTATTTATCTGCTTATTGGATTAAACACGGTCAGCTGACAAAATATAAATAACTTTTCTCTATTTCAACTCTGATACAGTTATTAGCAGATAGAAATTCCTATCATATTTGGAATAAAAGCATCATGAAGACATTTTCATTAATCTGGTTAACTAGAATGTGTAATCCTAGAGTCTAATTGATCACACAGTTTTAGTTACATTATAATTAAATTGTAAATGTTTAAAATAATCATGTTATTTACTCCATAGCATTGATAGATTTATACCAGGCAATCGCCTAATTATTTCGAAGCGTTCTGCTTAAAATTTAAGTTATTCTTAAAATTCCCAGATAAGCTTGACGCCAAACTTCCTAATAATCGCATCGTCACCAGTTCCTTTACTTTTGATTGTTTCAAAGAACTGTTGATTCCAGCTACCATAAAATACAACAACCTCTTTGACGTTGATAGAACGTTTTTAATGCCACGTATCAAATTCCTTATACGAGAGCGATGAAACTACACATGTTCAGGAATTCTAAGTACTACTACACTCAAAATTTACAAAAAAAAAGCAAACAAAAACCCCGATTTTTCAAAGATATCAAAGCAACCCAGATTATATATATATATATTACTTAACATTCTGAATGATCTATATGCCAGTGGTGATTATTTGCTTAGTGAGCAAATCACTCGTTTGTTACATTTCTGTTATTCATAATAAAAATTACTTGGATTACAGTCCTGATTACTACTCTCGAAGGTTCAGTTCTAGTGCGCCTTGTATAATAAATTTCAACGATCTCTAATGGTTATCAATTTTTACTTCAATAACATTGAGAAGCAAACATAATCAGAATTATCAATTCATTCCTAAAAAATGTTTGGTTATTTTTCAGTTGTCTAAAGTTTTGGTCAATAATTTTATGAACGTTTTGATTGAAGTGAAATGAGTATATCCATTAGGATTCCGTAACTACATCTGATTAGCTAAAATCAAATATCTAATTATAACAAATTAACAAAGATACGGAGAATACATAATTGACTAACTGATTTAATTAGGGCATATATTTTAATATATACCAAAGTTCTTTCAAGAATGTAGGATCTTCACAGACAATCAAGTTTTTAATATCACAATGGGTTTTGTGGATATTATAGTAATTTCAATAGTTAAGATCATGAGTCAATTGAAGCTAGACTAGCATGGAAATCCTGGGAGTACTGGACGGCCGTTTTGTTTTTGTTTCATAGTATGTTTAGACGTTTAGAGGAAATTCTATATCATCATCGGACTAATTTTATTTAAGCATTTAAAAGTATCTTAGCTCTCACTAACTCAGACTTCCTTACAATATTGATTTGTTCTGTAAAACGTTATCAATATATTCATGGATTATCTTATAAATGAATATACCTATCATAGGTTTGGTCACAAACAAAGATTTTTATAACCACTTACAATAACCATTTACTATAATATCCACAAAAACCCCTTCTGATAATAATCATATTCCCATTAGTGACTGGCTTCAAGAGATATTTCCTAGAGTTCTGAATAGAAGCAGTGATCAGTGGAGTTCAACCAGGTCTGTTGTGAGATAGTAACTCACTGAAGACATTGGTGGATGTGTCTCTCAATTTCGTGGATTGGTTGAAGTTAGACATTAACACGGTTGGATGCTTGTTCAGTGGTCTAGAGGTTAAGCGATCACGCGCGAGGCGGGATCGTGGATGCGCGCTTCTGAGGAGTCCCATACTAGAACGAAAAAGCCGTTTAGTGCTCCCAGGATTTCCATAGTGATCTAGCTTCAATTTACTCATGATCTCAACTATAAAAATTCACAATATGTTTCGTGATTGATAAAATCAAAAGTCAACTGAAATTATTAAACACAAATTTTACGGATATTTCACTATTAAATTTTTTTTAAAACCAGAAATTTTCCCAGCAGTAAAATAAATAAGACTTTAATTCTTTCGTTGTTGTTGGTGGTGGTGTACAACAGTTTCTTCTTTTCCCTTATTTCTTCAATATCCTAACATTGAACATTGTATGCTATACATATAAATTAGAAAGTAGATTGTAAAATGTAAAATAAGTATTTAAAAGTTGATTGTATTAAAGAAAAACAAAAAAAAAGATCATTTCTTATATGACAGAAATAAAGTACAAGCCAAAAGAAAAAAAAAAGTAACTAGGAGGGATATATATTCAAAACAAAGAATAATGTAATGAATCAATAATTTCTTCGTTTACATTTAATTCCATAACTAATAACACGTCCATCATCATTAATTTGTGGAATACGTTTATCTCTTATAAAATAAATTGGACAATGATATTGTTTTGGACAAATACATGGTACTCGACCACCATAAATATAACCATCTGTACTTGGTGTTTCAATATAACAAAAATCGTCTACTTTACATTGAGGCTATAAAAAAGGAGAATAATATAACAACAGAGGTATATGATAAATATTCAAAAAGAAATAAATTGAATATATCATGTTTGTATTCAATGAACTGAAGGTATAAATGTGACACTTCGTAAAGGTCAATAAAAGTAAAAAACTGATGAAGAGTAGAAAATGAGAGTTCAAACTTTATGATGAATATCAATTCTCACAAGATTCTAGATGAATCATCCTGAAAAGTATTTATTAATAAAAAAAACTATTATTCATAACTCATTTAGTATTGTTTGTTAGCGACTGACCAGTTGCAGTCCTAAACATCAATGGGAAGATTCAAACAAACAATACTAAGTTGAATTTAACTTCACCCTATTGTACAAGCAAGTGGTTATCAGGACTCAGTGACCGAGTGGATAACGCGATGGCGTTTTAAGCGAAAACTACTGGGTTCGAGTCCCAGAGTGAACATCAACTCTGAGATGCAGGTACACCCAGCTGACGAGTCCCAAATAGGAAGAAACGCGCGTCCTGGATTCCACTGCTAGCCACTATCCATCTTTGCTTATTATTCATAACGTTCTTCTGATTGTGCTGAACTAACTAGTATTGTCGATTATATTACCCAATGTCTGGAATAAAAACCGACATTTTGAACTAGATAAATTATACCTACTAAATATCCATGAATACCAACATTAGAGAATATAGTTTTAAAAATAGTAACAAAGATTTCCCGATGTGTTTGATCATTTTGTTGGAGCAAGACGCTTTAGATAGTCATTAATAGCTTATATATTGGACATTCCTATATTACAGTATATCAGATTCTTTGAGAACTCTGGTAAAGAGAAACTATTCACAGTGTTTCGATTCCGAGAACATCTTGATCCCTTGTCCTTGCAAGCTGACTATGAAATATAGTTCATCGATAAGAAACAGTAATGTCTAAAACTAATCATGAATTATCCTATCTCTTTGGAATAGACTTCAAAGGGCTTTGCAAAACTCAGGAATAAACTTCAAACAAGAATAATGTAAGTGATTTACAAGAGAAACGTTTTATACTAAGATTTTAACAGTTAGAAACTCTAAACAATCAGAACACATACACCAAATATAATTGACTGCGAACTTCGGAATCGCTAGTTAGTCGACTCTAAATACAACACTTTAAAGCTAAGTTGCTAAGAATCAACTTACTAGAACTTTTTCAAACTATCTTTTTTCAGTTTGTTTATATAATTCTCTGTGTAATATTTCAGTCATCCTCTGTCAAAATCACAACTGTACTACTCCTGAGTCATTCACTGAACTCACCAGTTACATAACACGACTGAAAACTGTCAAAACCAATTAATTTGTTCAGATTTATGATATTACGTATGTTATGCTTCAGTCCTACGTATAAATCAGTGAGCATCTATCATCAATTTTAAGATTTTTCTATCTTGAACAGCTAACACAGAGCTTAGATCTTCCTTACTTCTATGATATTTTAGCTTAACATATGTAATGCCACATCTTCCAGAATAAGTTGACACTTATGAGTAGAAATCTGTCGAACTATTTCATATTTGATGAACAAATAAAAAAACATTTTCAAATATTTTAACTGACTTAAAAGTCCCAAAGTCTACTTACCTTTGTTGCACATGTCATGTGTATATAATTACCACGAAAAACGCGGTCTCCAAATTGAACACCTTTGCTATATCCATAACGTTCAACATCAGCAATGCCTAGACATCGACAATTGATACGATCTACCATCAACCATGTCCCTATCTGCCTCAACTCAAATGCGATTTCTCCTTCTTCCATAGTGCAATAACGATGCCGTGCTTCGTATATTCTGTTACAAAAATGAGCTTGAAATTCGTAATCACGCATATCTAAAAAATAAGTTTTAAAAAAAAGACAAAGTCAGACATTAAATGGCTTATTTAAATTATTTTCCCTAATAACTAATCAACTCATTATTAAGGCTACAAGAATTGGATGTGAAATCCAGTTGTATATCGAATTCTTCAACAAAGTATCTCTCCTATTTGTTATAGGTAAGTTACATACAAATGCCATCATGAAATTTGAAACAAAGTTGGTTAAGTTTCAGCAAAATATCGCGAAAATTATCCAATTCACATGAAAGACCTCCAACTAACTGGTACGTTTTCCTCTCGTCTGATTATTATAGCTAGAGAATAACATCAAGTTTCAAAACTTTTTAAATATAATACAATAGCCTAGCGTGCCTTTTATGAAGAACTATATGATAGCATTCTTAGTTAATATTGACTATGTATGAGTATATTCGAAATGAGTAACTGTGTAATATTGTATATCCCTATATTTATCAAGGTCCGCAATTTAATTTATCATCGAATTACCTCAAAAACTACAGTCTTATGAGTTTTCTGTTAGCTCGCCAACTTATATTTATACTATTTTGTAAGTAGAAAACTGATTGATAGGAGCATGGTGAAATCATGATTAGAACAATCGAAGAACATTTCTTACAGCTTCAGTGAAAATGAGACAAAAACACAACAAACTATATTAATTGATAAAAACTAGCTTAACTGAATTGGCGGCCTGTTTAAACATCTGGGCTACCTGTTCCTGTCATCTAGATATTTCAACAAGTTATCTAATTTTGTTTGTTTTAATACATCATTATGGCTATTAATCGCACAACCTATTCAGATGCGTTTCTGAAAAGTGTAAAACCTTTCGCTGTAACGGTTGCAGAAGGCCTAATCAGAGATATCGTGGTTGCTGGCAATATGCAGCGAGAAGAATGTACATTATTCAGATGTCAAATGCTAACTTCTAACTGGCGATCACTTAATATTTATCGTCAGAAAGGACGAACAAGTAAGAAACGGAAACTTGTTGAAGTATTTTGTGTTGAGAATTCTATATTGTACTAAAAATATAATATTGAATAAAGCTAATAATAATAATAATTCTTAAATTGGACTAAGACAATTTAATGCTTAGTTCATAGACATCTCAGAATTTAAATATCATACTACATAATAATTTTACAACAATATTTACACGGGAAACTTCGTTGAATGGATTACTTTGTAAAAGCAGTTCACAGTTAAGTCCTAGCATTTCAGTCACAATACCTCATATTCGAATGTTTCGGTTTTGAAAATTATAAAACCTTCTTAATACTAGTCTCTAGAATCACCCATTGTATCACTAAATGAAAATGAAGAGAATTCAGTGAAAAAAATTTTCTTTTCAATGAAATCATTTACTTAACCTATACGTTCGTATGTATGGTTTTTTGGTGAATATATGTCTATAGAATGAGGGAAAAGATTGCATCATAAAATGAGTCCCATAATAGGACGAAACGGCCGTCCAGTGCTTCTAGGTTTTCGATGGTGGTCTAGCTTCAATTGACTCAGTATTTCAACTATGAAAAAGACTACAATTACCAAATAAGGTTGCGTAGTAATCAGGGGGTTAGAGAAGAACATAAGAATGGAAATAATTTACGAGTCGAAATTATGAAAGATAATTGTCCATTAGACAGATATGAAGAAAATTGGAAAACAAGAAGGTCATAATAATAACTGAATAATAAGCATGTAAATTTGTTAAAGGATAATGATAACTGATTATGGTTTAAAATTACAAAACTCAATTTAAAAATAAGAACAAACAAGGTCAAAACACACTACAGAAGGGAGTTAGGGCCAATGAAAGATAAGAGGTTGGAAATATCGTTTTTGCACCCGAAAATTGGGCTTGAATTGGTAAATCGTCAAACTCTTGGTAGTGCATAAGTTTTTTATTCAATCTTCTTCTATCAAATCCCTTTTATTGTGCAGATTTTTTTGAAGGACGTATCCAGAATTGATTGGATGCTCCTGTAATGGAATAGTGATCGTCCTACATTCTTCAAATAACTTTCACAATTCTGATCTGTATATTAATTTCATCCGACCATTCTTCTCTAACTCCGCCTGTAGCCGATCCGGGGGCTACTGCGGGTCCCGAACCCGGATCAAGGAAGAGGGTTGGGCATAAGGTTAGCAACCCCATCCCGTAGAAAACTAACTCTCTAGAACAAGGCTAACCAGAAGAAATTATTCAAACCATTTCAACTCTATCCTGGAAGTCAGAAGGTCTTCATTTGGAAGAGTTGTAACGCCTCATGGCGAAAGCCAAGATCCATCGGAAGATATGAGTCGGATGCCCCTTCTGACAACCAGAGCAAGTATTTGCCTAGGTACACGGGATGTTCGTACAGGGTAGTAGGCCGAGAGAGTTTTTCAAATTGCTGCAGAAATGATGCGATGAAAACTAAAGGTACTTGGAATCAGTGAAACACAGACGCAGGTTGGACAACAACGACCATCTTTAGGAGAGCTTCTGTTATACTCCGGTCACGACGAGAAAAATGTCCCAAATACACAAGGAGTTGCATTGATCCTGTCCGAACAAGCACAAAATGCACTTATAGGATGGAAGTCTCATTGACCAAGGTTCATCAAAGCCCCCTTCAGAACAAAGAAAGAGGGCAATACAAGGAAAATCACCATATGCTATTAGCCTACCAAGGACTACAATGAAGACGTTAAAGATCAATTCTACGATAGGCTGCAAAAAGTCGTTGAAAAATACCCAACAGATGACCTGACCATTCTAATGGGAGACCTAAATGCAAGGTAGGAATTGACAACACCGGATATGAAGATATAATGTGACCACATGGACTGGAAGAAAGGAACGAAAATGGTGAGAGATTTGCAAACCTATGTGCCTTCAAAAAACTGGTCATAGGCGGCACTATATTCCCACACAAACGCATACACAAAACCACATGGACTTCACTGGATCACACTATGCAGAACTAAAGTGGCCATATCTGCATCAATAAATGTTTAGGAGAAAGATGGAGAATGTGAGAACCAGGAGAGGAGCTGATATAGCATTAGATCATCACTTGCTGGTAGCCAAGATGAAAATGAAACCCAAGAGGCACTGGACATCTGGGCGGATAACATCACAAAAGTTTAATATGACTTTTCTTCAGGATACTGACAAACTAAACAACTTCGAAATAGCCCTCAACAATAAGACTCAAGCCTTTCATGATCTACTCAATGGAGAGGGAACTACTAGGAAGAGCAACTGGAAAGGGATATAAGAGGCAATCACTTCAACACGTTATGAGGTTCTGCTCTACAAGGAATGGATCACTGTTGATACACTGAATAAGACTGACGAAAGGCGGAACAAGAAGTCAGCAATCAATACCAGCCGAACAAGAGCAGAAAAAGCCAAGGCACAAGTCGAATACACAGAAGTAAACAAACAAGAGAGGAGGAGCATCAGAACCAACAAACTTAAATATGTGGAAGATTTAGCAATGACAGCAGAAAAGGCTGTAAGAGAAGGAAACATAATACAGTTGTATGATACAACAAAGAAACTCGCTGGAAATTACCGTAAACCAGAACAACCAGGGAAAAGAAAGGAAGACAAGGTAATCACCAAGATTGAAGAACAACGAAACGGGTGGGAAGAACACTTCAAAAAACTCTTGAATCGACCAGCTCCACTGAATCCACCCAACATCGAAGTAGCACCCACAGACCTCCCAATCGTTTTTGGCCCACCAACAATTGAAGAGATCAGCATGGTCATCAGACAAATCAAGAGTGCTGAAGCAATAGGACCAGATAACATTCCAGCAGAGGCCCTGAAAGCAGATGTAGCAGCAACAGCAGAGACACTCCACATTCTCTTCAGTAAGATTTCAGATGAACAAGTACCAACAGACTGGAAAGAAGGGCTTATGATCAAAATACCAAAGGAAGGCGATCTCAGCAATTGTGATAACTATAGGGGCATCACTCTTCTCTCAATACCACAAAAAGTCTTCAACAGGGTATTGTTAAACAGAATGAAGGACTCCGTAGACGCCCAACTTCGAGACCAAGGAACTGATTCCGTAAGGATTGATCGTGTACAGACCGAATTGCAACTCTACGGATCATTGTGGAACAATCAATTGAATGGAATTCATCACTCTACATCAGCTTCATTGACTACGTGAAAGCATTTGATAACATGGACAGGACAACACTGTGGAGGCTTCTTTGACACTACGGCGTGCTTGCCTAGGAAAATAGTCAATATCATACGTAATTCCCATGATAGATTAAACTGCAAAGTCATACATCGAGGACAGTTAACAGACTCATTCGAGGTAAAGACTGGAGTTAGGCAAGGTTTCTTACTCTCTCACCTTCTCTTTCTCTTGGTGATCGACTGGATCATGAAGACGTCAACATCTAGAGGGGAGCATGGGATACAATGGACAGATAGGATGCAGCTGGGCAATCTAGACTTCGCAGATGATCACACACGCAACAACAAATGCAGGAGAAAACGACCAGTGTAGCAGCAGTCTCAGCAGCAGTAGGTCTCAATATAAACAAAGGGAAAAGCAAGATTGTCCGGCACAACGCAACATGCATCAAACGAATTACACTTGACGGAGAAGCTTTTGAGGATGTGAAAACCTTTACTTATCTGGGTAGCACCATTGATGAACACGGTGGATCTGATGCAGATGTGAAGACGCGGATAAGCAAAGCAAGATCAGCATATTTATAACTGAAGAACATCTGGAACTCAAAACAAACTCAACATTTTTAATACAAACGTGAAGACAGTTCTACTGTATGGGGCGGAAACGTGGAGAAATATGAAAGCCATCATCTAGAATAAACAGGTGTTTATTAACCGTTGTCTACGCAAAATACTTTGGATCCGTTGGCCAGACACTATCAGCGACAACCTACTGTGGGAGAGAACAAACCAGATTCCAACGGAAGAAGAAATCAGGAAAAAACGCTCGAAGTGTATGGGACACACATTGAGGAAAGCAGTCAACTGCGTCACAAGACAAGCCCTCGCATGGAATAGTGATTGCCAGAGAAGAGGAAGACCAAAGAACACATTACGTCGAGAAATGGAGACGGACATGAGAAGAATTAACAAAAATTGGATAGAACTGAAAAAGAAGGCCCAGGACAGAGTGTGTTAGAGAATAGTGGTCGGCAGCCTATTCTTCATTGGGTGTAACAGTCATTAGTAAATAAGTTAGTACCATTCTTCTCTCACTTCCTGATTATTATGCAACCACTTTTGATATTTGAAATCTCGAGTCACTTTTTGATGGAATCTTTTCTATCTTTCTATAGATATATATTCACCAACTAACTATACATATAAAAACAAATTTCGTCACTTTATGATGCAATCTTTTCTATTCTTTTATAGAAATATATTTGTATCGCTGAATTCTATTTTTAAAAGATTAATTGATGATACATATATCATGGTGTTATCAAATCCATAAATTTTAGTATCATTCCTCTATTATCGAATAGACATCAAAATACAATATATAACTGTTTTATTCTACTTTTGAAACTATTCAACAGTGTAGATCATCAATGATCTCCAACATGAAATTTCAAGGTCTAGAAGAAACTATGATCGATACTTTCTTTATCTTTCTTGAATTCCTAAAAAAAAATATTGTAACTATTTTGCAATATAATACATTAGTGTTTTCACTAACTACCTTTTGATTATATATATTTCATCTTTAAACTAAAATTTAAAAGATTTCATTTCCATATTAGAATTATTTTCGTAGTAGCATTTTTGTATACTTTAAGTCCATGCTTCTTTATTGTAGTAAACAGTTAATTATCATATTTTCTGTATAATGTAAGATAATTAAAGAAAGATCAGATTTAGTTATAATAACTTTTTTTCTCGTCAGAACTATATCTTATCTTATCTTCTTTCTGAATGGTATTGTTCTGTTATCCAGTTATTGATCTGGTCTGATCATATTTGTACTAATAATTTATAATAATCTGTTGACATTCATTTATCTCCATTAAACTGAATACGTTAGCTCTTTCATGTCCAATTGTAGTGAACGTGAACACGGGTGGGGACAATCGAATGTATTCAATCATAAATTACAGAATATCTCACTAAAATCTGATAACCATCCAATAATCAATTAGTTTGCAAAATAACAATCAATTGTCTCAATCTTGACTCTTCCTTCTGCAAATATCAGTTCATCTTCTCTGGTTTGATAGTTCATGCATTTTCCTACCAATCTCGCTTCGTTCTTGTTCTTTCCTTATCGGTCTTCTGCCAAAATACATTCTATGTCTCACTATCCTCATATACCACTTATATGGATATAAGTAGACCACACCACACAATTACTAATTTTATCAAAGTGATCATTGAATCATATTTAGCATCATATATTTACAGTATTCAAATACATCAAAATATTAATTCTGATATATATATAATCTTATGAAACTATAATGTAAAGAGTAAAATGATTTAACCATTTAAATAATGAATAATTCACTTACCATCAGTACCTATAAGTTTGAATGTTAATGATTTAACATCATTTGTTGGAAGCCATGTAAGTGGACAACTTGAATAACTTGAACAAATATGACGACGTTGAGCAAATGGTGATAATGATTTATAATATTTGGGCATATTAAAAAAGCCACCACGTTCAAGCCATACACAAGGAGTTAATGACCGTCTCTGCTTAACATATGAATAAAAAATAAAGTATTAAAACTTCAAGCTTTTTAAACAAATTATATGGATATTTACTTGACAGCATTTCAAAGACTGTCTAATAATCACTTTACATGGTTAACATATAAACATCAGACATTTGACAAAAATACAATGTGGGACTCTTCAGCGGTGCGCATCCACGATCCCGCCTCGCGAGATTCGAACCCAGGACCTACTAGTCTCGCGCCGGAACACTTGACCAATAGACCACCGCCGTCCAGTGCTTCCAGGTTTTCCACGGTGGTCTAGCTTCAATTGACTCATGATTTCAGCTATATATAAAAATATAATGTATCTTAGATTATCTAGTGACTGATCAGTGCTTGAATCACTAAGGTTGGTAATTACCTGTGGTTTATTTAAAACCAAATTTTTGGTATCATTCGTGAAACTGGTTTAATATGTAAAGAGCAATGAAATTATTTAACCCAATGCGAGCGTTTGGAAAAATGATCATCTAGAATGTGGTAACATTCAAGCATTCTTCCATTGATATAACTTGAAGATAATAATTAGTTTTGAAGTTATCGGTTAAACCTGTATACCAGTCTATCAGTTTCTTTCACAAAAAGGTTTTTCAGCCTAATAAGATTATCCATTTCATAAACACTCCAAAAACTCATCGTCAATCAGTCCTACGCTTCTTAATTTATTTACAACGAGCAAAATTGTATGGCAGATTTCATCATTGTCTATCAATTAAAAATGGTTGATGTTAATTATCAGAATAACTTCTGACAAATGATATCAATCGGTAGGTGAATGGAATTCATAGATAACCCTATGGCTGATTTGTTTCCGTTTTCATTATTCGGATGTAGGGAGCACTTCTTGCCTGTTCCACAACAAAAATCAAATTTTCAAGTTTTATGATGCACGTTTAACCAGCAGCATAAGTTCCCAATACAGCAACCTAAAATCTTTTCCTCAGAAGTACTCAGTAATCAATATCATTGGTTCTATTCTAGTGAGATGGTTATGGCTCACTCGATCTATTTATTATGTTTTCTGCTAAAACATGAAAACATTTGCGTTTATCTTGGATTCATACTAAGAACAACAAGTTTGAATACACTGTTGATGATACTAATGATACTAATCAATCATGTGTACGTTTATAGCTTTAAAGATGTAAATATGTGCATATGTGAGGTATAGACTAGTAATATTTTCATACACCATTTACACTGTAAGTTAATCATCAACACATCCTATGCAATTAGTTCCCTTGATCAACTTTTGTTAAGCAAAACAAGAAATATTGTGGGATGAAGTGAATTTAAATCATTTGGTTTATTCCAAATCTTCTTTATACACAAACCGATTTGTACAAATAAAAAGTTTGCTCATGGTTTAATAAAATGAAAATTCTACTCTCCACTAAACGTTATAAAGAAAGTGTAAAATACTTTGAAAATGAGAGAACGGAAAAGAGAAGAAAAAATAGAAGTGAAATCTATCATCATGGCAATGTACGGTGTATCACAGGTTCTTTTTATATATACAAATTAAGGGTGATATTATGAATAGTGGTTACTTCTGCTTAACTTAAAAGTCCAACCTTATTTTGTTCATTTATTGCTCGAAATACAATTGCAGTAGCAAGTGAATCCTTCATACCTATTATATTTTCCAGTTGTACTGTCAGGTACTTTGGGGCCATTCAAATTCAACTTTCTTGGCATATATCTTGATATTTTGCGAGGCAATCCTATCTTTGTTCTTACATTGTACGTCTTATTGCAGTTCCAGGTAAATACATACAGTAGTAATAAATACACACATGATAATTACCATTATCATCACGATTACTCTTTACGTGATGATAACATCCACCTCAAATTTTATTATGTTAATGTAGTATATTTAGAACAATCTCGTCACCTATTAACTTGCTTACCTAGAAACAGAAATACCATAACAAGTTAATATGTGATCCAACTGTTTTAAATGTATAAAGCTGATACATTGCATAGCTAACATAAATCTCATCTCATTTCTGTTACGTAAATTTATCAAACGGATTGTTTTATGATAATATTTATACTTCTTTATGATAAATAGCAAAGCTGTTCATTATTATTGCTCTGTAGGTAAGAGAGACTGAAAACTATCTTTCCATGCAAAGATATGATATTAAAATTTAATAGATAATGTCTCTCTTATACCTAGTAACTAGAGATGTAAAAGCCTAAACATCTAACTAATACACTCAATATAATAATAAAGTTTAATATCTTATCAAAATGATAACAGGTATATATTAAATATTTCAGAATTTTAATTTTACCCTTTTCTAACCATTTTGATAGTAAACATGAAATTTTTTCAACTAACTATCGGGATAAATTTTATTTATGAAAAAGCAGGTGTATCTAAGGTGGATGATTTACTGGTGTTGCATTCCCTGATACAGTTAATTTGGCTTCGAATCTTTGATCGAAGTTCTGAATAACATCAGTAGCCGCTGGTCTATTCAAAAAAAACGAAGAGGAACATTTAAAATGCACATTGTATTGGATACAAACGATTTTGTTCAGAACAATAACAATATGTTCCCAGATGAACCATACCATATATAGAATAATGTAAAATTTCAGCAATGACTACTGATATTACAAATGTGCGCATAAAATAGTTTCAAAGCCAGATCTAATTAATCAATAAGTACATTTTAAAATTAAATCGCAACTACTTATGAGTATAATAAGACAGATACCAAATGTTTAGTTAAATGTCTTCAGGCCTGAGGGAAATTTTGGCAAAAATATATCAGTTTCCATTATTTATACGAATCAAATAATATAGATTACGAGGACAGTTATTGATTGTTCAATGAGGATTTCACGTCAGTAATTCTACTTTGATTATGAATCGTGATTAGGTTATCTTATTCACATCATTACGGACATTCATTCTTACAATTCCAATAGTATAAAGTTGTTATAGCAATAATCAAAAGCTAGAGTCTTCAGTTTAAATTTTATCAATATTTTATCGAGAAATTTGTCAAATTAATAGTTTAGACCAGTATAGTTTCTTAGTTAGATCACTGTTCATCATCAATATTTTTTCTAATTTATTCATTGGTACAACATAAGAAGCTTTATCTGGTTTGGGTAGTACTAAATTGTCACTTTTATGGAGGACATTGTAATATGTTTCTGTCATGAGTTTAGATTAAAGGGATAGTTTAGCATGAAATTAATAAGCTATATGCAGCAACATTGATTTAAACCAGTCACATTTGTTTTTATTCAAAAAAATTCAGGTCACACCACTGACTGTTATACATTTTCCGGTAAAACCATCTGAATCAGTTCTATGAGTAAACTTTCAAGTAATATAATTCAAATGGAATTATAATCACTGGGAAAAATATTTCTGGGCTTCAACTTGTCTTTGAAAGTTATAATACTTTCGTGCTAGATTACAATAGGCAAGTGAAATGTAAAGCAAAAAAATAGTGCCAACTAGTTATTTGAGTACACTTCACAAGATCCCGAACGTGATATAAAACAGTCAAAAGTAGAAAAATACTTATATGCGAGGTCAAAAGTAGCCTTACAAAACTTAAACTTAAAAAATTTCAGCAAGAATAATCTATTTTCAGAAAGGGATTTTGTGGAGATTGTAATAATTTAATAGTTGAATTCATGAATCAATTACAGCTTAATCACCATGGAAAACCTAGAAGCACTGAACGAAACAGCCGTCCATATGAATACCTCAATAGCTTGATGAATATATTCCAATCCAATCAGTATGGCATAAAACAAAAATTATTCTACTTATAAAATCATCTACGTGACTATTTATATTATATTTTGCACAAGATATCTGTTGGAAGAAAAAAAATCACCTAAGTTTTGAAATTTTAAACTAAAACTATTTAGTTATCTATCTGGCCAAATAAGCAGATATTTGAATAGATTATTGATGGAGAGTGCTAGTGGGTGGTCTACGCTCCTCCACGAGTGGTAACAGATGTAAGTAAGTACATAAATAAGTAAGCAAGTAGTACTGAACCTGCTATCCTACAGTTTGATGTAAAATCAATTCAGTTACAATATGAAATGTCACTTATTAGTCAAGCATATCATTTATGTTATGAATTAGCACCTAATGACCCGATTCAGTTAATTATAGGTTAGATAATGAAAAATGAAAAGATTTGTCGATTGTTTTTCAGTAACAATGATCGATCATTTTATACTTTTGAGATATTTTAATCACCATTATTACTGTTGAGTAGATAGATACTATTTAACATTTGATCCAGAAAAATAGATTAGTAATGTTAAAATGAATTAATTGATTGTTTGTAAAGTTTATTGACAAAATTCAGCAAGCAAAAATGGATGGTGGCTAACAGTGGAATCCAGGATGCACGTCTAGTCCTATTTGAGACTCGTCAGCTGCATGTACCTGCATCTCAGAGTTGTTGCTCACTCTGGGACTCGAACCCAGTATAGTTCTCCTCGAACACCGTAGTGTAATCCACTTAGCTACTGAGTCCTGATAACCATTTGCTTGTACAATGGGTTAAAGTCAAATTCACTTGATGTTGTTTACTTGTTTCTTCCCATTGCTATTTAGGACTACAAAAAAACTACACTAAGTGAATAAAACTTGACAGTAAAACTATATTCTCTTCAGTATACGCTAAATTTAGCATAACATTATCATAGTACTATAGTTCAGAAAAGAAATATTTTCTCTGAACAGGTCTTTTGCTTTATATGTCAGTGCATATTTACCGTTAATTTCAATGGTGTTTATCCAGTTAAACAATGTCACTTTAATATATAGATCACGTGGTTAAATTAGTAAAAATCTTTATATAACTATGGCGTACGATTGGCATTGGTTCATTACAGATACATCCAGACTGACATCAACTAATTTATGCCACCCAAATACTCGTTATTTTTTAGTAATAAGGTTAACAACTGTTTTTT